TTTGGGACTATCATAAAGTATTTATTCCTTCAGGTTCAGAAGGAGAAAAAGTTCTTGCCTGAGCTACTGATCACTTTCACAGTGTGATGTGAAGTAGGCATGAGCCTTATTAATCACACATCACAATAGTCTCCTGTATGATGTTGGAGTGTTCAGAGCTGTCCAAAGACATGAGATAGCAATAGTTAGTTAAAACCTAATCTAATCTTTCATTTTCTCTGGTTGAATTCCTTCCCTGCATGTTTTAGAAGTTAATCCAGCACAACTTCAACAAATTTACAGCTGTTTGCAGATTGTCTCTATTTTTTCATCCCAATGTACACTGAGGGGAATTGAATTCCTCCTTCATCTACCTCTTCTGATTATCCAGCGTATCTCTGACATATTCCTGTCACTAATATTTTTTTCCCCGCTGTCCCTTTACTTCTAACCAAAGAAACTCAGTCCCACTTCTATCATCCTATTGCTCAGTTAGCTACTGCCTCTCCAACAAATAATACCAAGTTTGTTACTCTGCTCCCAGGTGTTTGCTTCCTCATGGTTTACCAACACTTCAACCTCATCCATTTTGTTCCTTTAACGTCTTATATTTAGGTACACATCGTAGATAATCCTACTTAGTCCTTAGTCCATCTTTCTTAATTATCTTGTCTTTTCCTTCCTCTCTGCTATACTAGTTTAAATCCTCCTGTAATTCATTCAATTGGCTTTGAAATGCTCTATGAACTCAGACGTAGCTTCTCAAGGGCAAAAATATCTTTCCTAGGATTAAGTGACGAACACTGTACAATTGCAATCTAGATAGGTTGGCTAACCCTTTACCCAGCAACTACAAAATCTTTTTGATTTGCACCAGAAGATCTTAGATAACTTGGTAGAGCCGTGTTGTTGGCTGCTTCTTTCATAGATTTATCCACAGACTCAGTTTTCCGCCCAGTGTGCTGTATAGTTGTTTGATTGAATGCTACATTTTTTTGCTTCCTTGTTCCTGACACCAATTTCTTTATTTGCTGCTTTACACTGAAAATCTGCCTCAGCTGCTCAGTTATCTGAAAGATTTAAACTTTTACAATTTGATTGCATTGCTCCTCATTATTTGCTCTGAAGTCAGCGAACTATGCTGGCAGATTAGTAGACTGATATGAAAGTGGTGTTGGTCCATTAATAGTTAAGTACCCAGCAGCTATTTAGAGCTGGAACCAAGGTCATGTGGTTCCAATAAGTAATCTTCCTCTTTATCTTTAGCAGATTTGATTAATGCGGCATAATGATAGATACTGTTGTATCTTTCGTGGGGAACATGGTTGGGATTAAAGAGTGCCTCAGTATATTAATAAAATGTGGGGGGTGGTAAAATTTTAAAGGTGGGGAATGAAGTCCTGTAGCATAGTGGTTGGAGCGCTCGCCTCACAAGCGAGAGGACTTGGGTTTGAATCCCGGGCAGGGTGAAACGTTAGCCAAGTTTCCTGCTCCACACGCCTGTTTACCTAGCAGTAAGTAGGAACCCGGTTGTTAGTAGATTGGCGGATCGCTTTTCCGGGCAGTTAAATTTTTTTAAAAAAAATAATTTTGTTACTCAATACATAACTTTGTGGGGCACTGCTGTGTGCAAAAGCATTTAGTTCACAAAATATACAGTCAGTTCACTTTACAGTATATTCTGTGAAGCGATTTGAGACATCTGAAATAATAATAATAATAATCCTTGCATTTGATATAGCGCTTCTCACGTCGGGAGGACGTCCCAAAGTGCTTCACAGAACACACTGTAAAGTGAATTGACTGTATAGTTGTGGGCGAACGCGGCAGCCAATTGCGCACAGCAATGTCCCACAAACAGTCGTAGATTGAAAATGACCAATTTATTATTCTTTTTGGTTTTGGAAGGATTAATATTAGGCTCTGTGTGGAGTAAGGAAACTTGCCCAAGGTTTCGCCCTGACCTGCCTGGAATTGAACTCAGGTCTCTCGCTTGCAAAGCGAGTGCTCTAACCACTGAGCTACAGGACTCGTGATAAAGCTCTATCAAATGCAGGGATTATTATTATTGTTAATAAATCTCAGAGCTAGGATTAAATGTAGCCTGGACTTGTGCAGCAAAGACTCTCAGCTGACTATAGTATAAGCATTTTACGTGAAATATATGTAGATTTTTACAGCATCTAATCCCTGGAGTACACAGCACAATACAAATTTGCACTCACCAGTTCTGGTCAGGCTCCACTGGCTTCCCAACACTGAACCAGTTGACTTCAAGATCCTTACACTTGTGTTCAAATCACTTCACTTTCTGGTACCTCCCTGCCTCTCCGACCTCCTCACTACGTAATATCACCTGGCACCTCCGCTTGACTGGCACCGGTCTCCTGCTTGTCCTTCACACCCTCCACCACACCATCAGAGGTTGCGCTTTCAACCACTATGCCACAAAACTCTGGAACGCTCTCACTCAATCCCTCTGCCTTGCCCCCTCTCCCCTTTTTCAAGTCCCGTCTGAAGACCTTCATCTTCGACCGTTCTTACGGCCACCTCCCCCCCTCCCCCCACCCATTCCGGCTCAGAGTCAGGCTCTGACATGCTACCCTGCATGGAGGGCACTATATAAGTGCAAGTTGTTGAGTGTGTGTGTGATAATCAATATTGACCCAAGGATTAAAATATTGAAAGTTTACATACCTAATTTGTTTCTCTGCTTTCATTTTACCCTTTTTTCCTCAGTGTTGCTGTCTTGTTAGTCAGAGACCTCTGCTGGAAAGTGCACATTCTTTCATCCTATTTTAGCTTTTCAATGTTTTTCAGAATTTTTGCATTAATAAGTCCAGTTTGCATAACAGATCTTTCAGGGTTTTAGTGTCCTTGCATTAAATTGATGACTGAACCAGCTTTTGGAAAGACTTATTCTTCCATGTTTTGCATGCATCATTAATGTAGGCTTAGGTATTCTTATTGCAGTAAGTTGATACAAATAGCTTAATGTTAAAGATATAAAATTAAATTATGCAGACAGCATTGTGTTAATTATTTATAAATGCTCAGGGCCGATTTGCAAAATCAAACTGAGGAAAATAAGATTTAACATCAATGAATATGCTATATGGAATGCATGGTTAAGAATCTTCCCCCCCCTTTTTGTTTTTAATTTTTTGGGGGATGGTTAGTTTTATCAAGCATTAGAATCCTAGGTGAGTGGATTCAGTCCCTCTCTACTCTGTACATAAAGATTACTTCTTTAAAATAGTTGCTTGCGTAGATTAGATGCTTCCATAGATTTGGCTTTTGCGCAATTGAAGTATTACAGAAATAAATGCAGCAACTTCTTATTTATGTCATCATCTTGTTGAGATAGCCTGAATATAAGTGATCTAATACTAAATTATGTATTGAAGCTGATATTTTAAATAGCTGTGAGAGGCTCATCTGTTACAAAAGCATATTTACGCCAAGTGCAACTCTGAGTAATCTTACATGTTGGAGCCTGTTTTAATGTTAGTTGGGAAGCCCATAAAATCCCAAACAGCATATAAAAGGGTAAGCAAATGTTGGGGTCTGTAACCCCAAGTGACCCACATTATAATGAAGCATCCTATTATGGGATTCCTATTTGTAATTTGACCCAGGTTTGCAAATAGGTTTGTGGAGTCCTGTAGCTGTGGAGTCGTGTAGCTCAGTGGTTAGAGCACTCGCTTTGCAAGCGAGAGACCTGAGTCAGGGCGAAACCTTGGGCAAGTTTCCTTACTCCACACAGAGCCTAATAATAATCCCTCCAAAAACAATAATAAATTGGTCATTTTCAATCTATGACTGTTTGTGGGACATTGCTGTACGCAATTGGCTGCTGCGTTCGCCTACAAATATACAGTCAGTTCACTTTATAGTGTGTTCTGTGAAGCGCTTTGGGACGTCCTCCCGACGCGAAAAGCGCTATATCAAATGCAAGGATTATTATTATTATAGTTTGCTTCAAAATGCTATCCCAGTTCCTTGGGATGTCCTTCCAAAGTGAAAGGTTCTATTAAAGATAATTTGTTGTTTATCTCCATGTAACTCAATATAAACTATAACTATGCAATCTTGCATTACAAGTTTTTGTGTTTGAGATCGATACAATGAAACTCAATTACACCCACTTGTTGATGTATCACTTTTGCTTGATAACATGTCTGTATTGCTTATTAAGCGTTTGTCAAACATCTTCGATAATGTTTTCCAAGAATATTTTTTGAGGCTTAAATGCAGCACAATTAGTCTTGGTTGGACATCTTGTTGGAAGTATAAAGATTCAAGTTGCAGGATTGTGATTGTCTAGACTGGATAGAGGAAGAAAAAAAAATAGTGAATTTGCAGGTGTTTCACCACACCTAAAGCAAATGCAGAACAGTATTGATGAGAGGAAGTGCCTCATACCCAAGCAGTAGAGAAACTAATTTAGATGCTTGCATATTCCAAAATATAGCTGAATACAAGTATACAGTTTGCAGAAAGTGTGAGGGTGACCCCTTGTGGTAGATATTAGTTAAACTGAAAGCACGGTAGTTTTCAGTAGTTTGTGAAAATTATTCCTGTCCTCTACCAGCCTGTCTCCCTCCTACCCTCAGGTGCCAAAATATAACTTTCAAAGGATTTTATCTGCCTCCATCTTAAACATCTCAATTGTTTCGGCCGCTATAACCTTCCAGGGAAGTGTATTCCTTACTTTCCTAGCCCTCTGTGAAGAATTGTTTTCTGATCTCGCTTCCAAACTTTCTAGCTGTACTATTAAAATGATATCCCTTTGTTTTGTATCCCTGTATCAGAGAGGAGTCCACTTTTTAACTTGTGAAGAAATGGCCACAATGTGTGTCTGCATTATTTTGAACACCTGAATCAGATTATCTGAAAGACGGCACTTTTGACAATACATTGCTTCCTCAGTACTACCTGGAGTGTCAGCCTGGATTATGAATTCAGCTTGTTGATGTTTTCTTAAAATCTTATGAAATGTTAGCTGTTTTTTTTGTCAGATTTCTACTCCCCAACAATGATTGGACTTAAGACTGATCAAGAGGTTCTTGGTGAGCTGGTGAAAATGAAAATCCCGGCAGTGGCTGCGCTAATGGATCATCATAATGTTATGTGGACACTTGTTGTGTCACGATGGTTCATTTGTCTATTCATTGACATTCTTCCAGTTGAGGTAAACATGAAAAATATAGTGTTTACATAAGCTAAAAATTTGTTGAATTCTATCAAAATGATAGCTTATGAACACTTAATTTTTTTTTCTGCATTTTTACTTTTTTCAAAATTGCACATTTGTAGCACTTATTGCATTATTGGTCCTTTCATTCCAATATATTCTGCTAAACAAGGTTGACTTTAACCCTGCATTCACCTAAAAAAATATATTAAAGGGAATGAAACAAAATGAATTATCTTTATGGGTTTTCAAGGGGATTGTTTCAGTATAGTGTGAATTTGTGTTTTCTACGCTATGAAGAAAGATGAGGAAGAGAGCAAAAGTGTATGAAGGAAGGGCATGAAAACAAACATATTGATCTAAATCAATGTAACCGGAAGGGGCAATAGCCATTCAGATGGGATAAACTGAGGGATAAACTGCCTACTCATAGTGCAGTGTGTCAGCCTGACACGGTACTCCTCTCACCACTGAATCAAAAGGTTAGTGGTTCAAGCCCTACATCTGGAGTTTTTAATTCAATCAAAGCTGATCTGAAAATATCTCTAAGTGCTTCACATGTACTTGCTATGGTATCTGTGCATTTAAAGGAAAGCACAGCAGCCAATTTACACACATTAGTGTCCCACAAACAGCTGTTTATCTGAGGTTTGTTTGCCAGGACACCAGACAAAACTCTCCTCGTTTTGAAGAGTGTCATGAAATCTTTAACTTCCACCTGAACAGTTAGATGGGACCTCAGTTTAACAAATCATGTGAAGAAAGGCACCTATGACAATGGTGCGCTCCTCTAGTACTGTTATGAGACTTTCAGCCTGGGTTATGCTAACTATATTGTGAATACTTTATATTACTTTAATGGAAGATTTTTCTTCTGTAAATATAAGAATATGTCTTTTTTCTTCTTAGACTGTTTTCCGGATATGGGACTGTCTGTTTTATGAAGGATCCAAAATTATCTTTCGTGTGGCCTTGACTTTGATAAAGCACCAGCAAGCTTCCATTTTGGAAGCAAATAACTTTCCAGACGTCTGTGAGAAATTTAAAGAGATCACACAGGGACCATTAATCACGGATTGCCACAACTTCATGCAGGTGAGTTTTAATTTAACAGACTAGAATTTCTCTGCAATATTATGACTATTGAATATATCATGTGAAGTGCTTTGAAAGGTCTCAATGACGTGATAAGGCCCTATGTCCCATGCAAGCATGGGTTTTTGAAATTAACCAGCAGTGATGCATTCAACCCATTGAAGTCCCAGTAGTTATGGTTTTCAGTTGATGATGTGCTGTATGGATTATTGAAAGTGGATTTCCAGGTTACCCGATCCTTCATTCATGTCATCAGTCCTTTCTGGGTGCAAATCTTAAACTGTCAGCACCTTGCGGCACCCTCCCGATGTAAAAGGTGATATGTAAATGTAAAATTGTATTGTATAGCATGTGTGGTAAAATTAATGCCAGTGGTGATTTGATGACTCAGAAGTATACAATATTACTTACCAAAATTTATGGAAAGTGTAGACATCTTTTCCAAACATGTTTTACCTATTTTGATCATGTTTTAATAGTTTTACATGAATGTATGGAGGTGTTGTCCTCTGCAGCGACAACTTTTATATTTGTTAGCCTGAAGGCATGTGACTGAGGAGCAATTCTGTTTGCTCTTTAAAGTTATTTATTTGTACATCTGGCTCAAGTTGCAGTATTCACACATGGGAGTCAGAAGGCTGTGGGTTCAAGCCCCACGTTTGGTCCTGTAACTCATAGTCTGACTCTAGGCTAAAACTACAAGCTGATGCATTGTTGGAGAAGCTGTCCTTTGGATGAGATGATAAAGTGACATTCCGCTTCTTGGATATCTAAGCTCCTTCTCATTTGGAATAAGACGACGAGGAATTTCTTCCAATGTCATAGCCAACAATCCCCCAAATAAAATTGGTCATTCACATCATGGTTGTTTGTGGGCTATTGCTGTGCTCAAATTGACCACCGCGTTTGTCTACAAATGTGACGTACTTTGAGACATATGTCTGTCGAGGATTTGAGCAGTGTTTGAGATATTACAGCTCATTGCGAACAATTAAACACATCGAACAATTAAACACATTTTTTAACTTTTCTTAAATTTCTTCTCTTCCTCAACTTGTTACTGCAGAAAATATTTCGTGAACCTGGTGGATTGTCCTTGGCATTGATTACCAAACTCCGAGAGAGCTGTAGGGCCAGAATACTTGCACAAGGTTGATGTACACTACACATTGCTGCAACGCTGATAACCTCAGTAGAATATTTGACATTCCTCAATCAATTATCAGGAAACATTTGTTGACTGTTAACAAAAATATGCTGTAAGTTTTGCCTTTTGAATAATTGTAGATATATTGTACACACTTTAAATTCAGGTAGATCAGACTTTTTTGATCAAATGACTTGCAATGTTTGAAATAATTTTACTGTATGGTAAAATAGTTGCCACCCTGTGGCCTACAGGAAATTAAACAATTAGGTTATTTTGAAATTTTTAGCCTGTTTTTAAAAATCTGGTTTGTACCTTTATTTCCAGTGTATTGTTTGCATTTGATTCCACTGTTAATTGTACAGAGAAATATAATTCAGCAAATGTTAAACTCTCAATACTGCTACTACTTTTAATTTGATTATTTTAAATGAACATTGATACCAGCATCCTTCAATCAGTTGCAACTGAATATCTTGTGCTGTAGAAGTGCTACAAGGTGTACAATAACTGAAACTACAAGCTATCTAGGTAGGTACTAAATCAGGGAATTACTGCTTTGTTTTATGCAAGTAAACCAGTTTGATTTCCCTCATGAAAATGGTGTTTGCTCCTTCAAAGGCAGAATATTTTCCCTTATCACTGTACAAATCTGTTTTGTATTCAGAGTGAATGTAAAACTGAAAGATTTAAAAATGAAACTAAAAAAAAATAAATGTTTTAAAAAAAAGGAAATCTTAATGACTTATAAAGCATTGGTGCAATTATATGTTGTTATTATGATGACTACTACAAACACTTATCAACTCACATTTCCTCTCATTTTTTCTTAATTTCTACAAGTTGGCCAGAGCTTAAATTTAGAATTCTCCTTTCTTGCCTTTGGAGTTTAAATACTTACTCGATTAGTTACTTCCAGGTCTCTTCTGGCCACATTTCATGTTTATCCTTTCCTTCAAACAATTAATTCTTCATACCTACAACCTATATGGAACACAGTTGAACGTAAACACATGGATAATGCAGAGCAATATCTGCAGTGACAGTTAAATTACAGAAATTATCCTTTGTATATTGCAAATGTCCCACTGAAGCTTGATAACCAACTATGAATCCAGTGCAAATCTTGCTGAAAAAAATGTATTCAGGCAGAAGAGTAAGATTTTATTGGTACATAAGTACAAGTTAGCAACATTGAACAGTATTACAGAAATGGTAAGAAAAAATCAAAACATTAAATACAAAAAAGGCAAATAGGACAATTCTAGCAAGTAATAAGATTCAGTAATAATTTCCAATATTGATAATTAAAAGTATTTAAGCCAAAATTCAGTGGTAAGTTGTATGTAAGACCTGAAACACGCGTCATTTATGCTGCCAAGATGCAACAGATACTGTCCACAAGGCAATGAGAAGGCAATGGATAAATTACCCAGGTGCAATCTTACAAATGCATTTAGCAAATAATTTTATGGTTGAGATTCCCTTTGTTTTATAATTGAGTGAGCTGACCAAATAGCTTTTCTAAATAAATGGGGAAAATCAGCATACAACCCTTACAGAAAATAATGCTTTTAGAATCGTTACAGGCAATGCACATTTACACATTGAGTCCTTAAAGGCTTGAAACTGTCCAAAAATAGTTCTGTAAAGCATATGGCCAGCATTTTTCTTCTATACAGTACAACATGCCTGAAAAGAAAGGTGCACCCATCACTCAAAAGGCACACCATTTAAATGCTATGAAAACTGAACAAAAAGGAAAATCTATAGGCATAGTATAGCAAGAGTGCTCGCTCCCAACCAGTTGTAGAATACCAATTGAACTTCAACCAAACGCTCATACCAGCTGCTTAAAAACATAACTCAGGAATAAAGTTTCAAATACCATCAACCACATTTAAAAAAAATTATCAAGTTAAACCAAGCTTAAAATTATGCACACATGAAGAGTTTTGGTGAGAGAGCAAGACCCAACTTTGTGTTAAATCCAACAAGCAAACCTTTAATACTGCCAACATTTCCTCAGCTTTACAATCCAAAGTATTCAAACACCTAAATTGGTATGAATCTGCTTTTGCCAGCATTGAATTTGCATATATTTATACACAATCAAAGCTATTGCAGAATTGCCATCAACTTGTTCAGAAGATACTAGCTATGTCACTCTTACACAGCTGATATACAAAACAACCAAGAATAATTTCAAAATAAGTGGTATCTAGAGTGAGCTGTAGCAAGTCTATTGTGGCATTGTGTTTTTATTTTCTATACAGATCAAATATTGCATATTCTATATTTCACCCAAACATTTAAAACCTGTCTAATGACAAGGAGCCGATGACAAGCCCAGTGTGAAATCTCTTCACCTGAAGAATTAAAGAGCACTCTACCCAATTTGAAGTCCTGCAATACCACAGTATAAGCTTTTAAGGTTTGAGATTTTCTTGGGAGCAATCTTTTGAAAGCATCCCAATTTATACTTGTAAATTAGGCCTCATCAGTAAAAATCAGGTTTGTGATTCGTGTTATTCCTAATAGCATAACATACTGTCAGTTTTTTGTAAAGCTTGGACCCAACAAACCCTCCCTTTATGATTTTATGCTTTGCTCCATTAAACAGTTGCAGTCAAAATGAAATATTATTAGTTTACTCAAGACACAGCCCTTTTCTCAGTGTTCTGAAATATGTAGACCTTGCTTGGAACACTGTATTTTCTCAAAAGGATTGTGCAATTTGGAGTTTCAGGCTGCATGCAGATTAAGTTCAGAAGCCAGCCAAGAAGGCAGCCTTACACGTACTCTAGTACTGAGTTCCAAAACTGAGCTGCAATTCATCCTGCCTCAGGACATTTTTATCATGAAAGTTGCCCAAAGGCAAGAGAATATTTCACAAAGTGGTTATGCAATGTTAGAGCAGGGCATCATTTAGAAGTAAACTATTAACATCTCTTTTAAACAGGGAGCATTCCCTTTATTATAGATCCATCTCCAAGATTCCAAACAAATAAATTTGTGTGTACTTCTTTGTAAGATAATCTCTTAAGAGGTGGAACAATTTGAGATCTGTATTCAGACTTTAGATAGTTTGATATCCAGCATGGCTTCTCTTCCTTCCAATCAGATACGCGATCAATACAATCAGCACAAGTCCAGCAAGAGCTGCGCCAACTATAATGGGGATCAACATGTTGTCTTGATCCAGCTTGCATTCTTCAGCTGTTTTAAAAAGCAAAATTAGTGAATATTAAAACTTTGAAATTAAAGAGGACATCAAATAGCATTCATGAAATGAATGACCAATTTAACAAGAGGATTTAGGCAGGATAAGAGGAAACTCCCTTCTCTTTTGAACAGTGTCCCAAAATCTTTAACATCACCTTAACATGAAGCTTGCACCTTTGTTTTAATGTCTCATCTTAAGGATGGCACCTCTGACTATAGTGGAATGTCAGCAAAGACCAGCAGCTCAAACTCAGTTAAAATGCTGTAGAAGAACTTGATTGAGTTCTTTGATGAAGTATCAAAGAGGGTTGATGAAGGTAGTGCAGTTGATTTGTATATGGATATTCAAAAGGCATTGATAAACTGCCACATAATAGAAACAGAAGTCGCTGGGAACACTCAGCAGGTCAGGCAGAATCTATGGAGAAAGGAAAGTGAGTCAACGTTCCAGGTCCATGACCCTTCATCTTCTGATGAAGGGCCGTGGACCTGAAACACTGACTCACTTTCCTTTCTCCACAGAGACTTCTGTGGTGACTTCTGTTTTTGTTTCAGATTTCCAGCATCTGTAGTATTTTGCGTTTTGCTACATAATAGACTTGTTAGCAAAACTGAAGCCCACAGTGACAGCATGAATCTGAAATTGGCTGGGAGACATAAAGCATGAATGGTGTTTTTTCCAGACTGGAAGGAGATGTACAGTGGTGTCCACCAAAGGTCAGTATTAAGACTACTGCTCTTTTTAATATATATTAATGACCTGGACTTACGTGTAGAGAGTAAAATTTTTAAAGTTTGCAGAACACACAAAACTTGGAAACATAATAAACAGTGAGGAGGGTAGTAGCAGAAAACACAGACACTGGAGAAATGGATAACAAATGAAATTTAATGCAGAGAAGTGTGAAGTGATGTGTTTTGGGAAGAGGAAGAAGGAGAGGCAATATAAGCTAAAGGGGGTGCAGAAACAGAGAAACCTGGGGGTTCACATACACAAATCTTTGAAGGTGGCAGGAGAAATTGACAAAGCTGTTAAAAAAAGCAAATGGGAATCTTGGATTTATAAATAGAAGCATAGATTATAAAAGTAAGGAAGTCATGTTGAACATTTACAAATTGCTGGTTAGGCCTCAGTATCCAATTCTGGGCACCACACTTTCGGAAGGATGTCAGGGCCTTGAAGAGGGTACGGAGGAGATTTATAAAAATGATACAGGGATGAGGGTCTCCAATTATGTAGAGAGGCTGGACTTATTCTCCTGAGAGCACAGTAGGTCAGGCCTCCAATTGTCTCTTTGAGGTATGCATAAAATAGTTGTGAAACTTGGTTTATGTTTGAAAGCTTGTAAAAGTGCTGCACGGTTGTTGTAGCTTGGTCAATCCGAATAAATTGTACATACATTTCACCAGTGCCTGGGCTGTACACAACTGAAAGTGTAAATCACTTGTCAAATTGCCTTTTTTTAAAAAAAACGTTAAACTATGAGGCAATTGGAATTGTGCCTATGATTTCCCAATGACTGCATAAGTATTATCAATAAGTGCCATATCAGTTTCAAGTGGTTAGTTTCAAAGTTCAAAACTCCCTGTCTATCAAATAATTCATGGGCACTAAAGATGCTTAAAGATTATAGTAGAATTAAACTAAGTGCTACAGTTAGCTTATATGGTTTGCAGCTTTTATGAAACAGAACACAAAGGACACTTCACACGTGACACACAGTCAAAAGCACAACCACTTACCAGGTCCAAATTTTCCATCGTTTATTTTGAACAGCTGAATGTGGAATTGAAATGCATTGATGGAGAACTCTGGAGTCACTTGCAGGGTCTGTTTAGCACGGCACATATAAGATTTTCCAACACTAGTCTGTAGGTAAGTCAGGCTGGCATTTGTGGCATTAAAATTCCCTAAAAGGTAAACAATTAAAGTTAGGGCCAAGAAACGTTTTTTTAAAAAAAACTTTACAATATCTGGCACACTTGATCACAACAAAATTACATTTATAGAGCGTCTTTCACGTTGGGAGGACGTCCCAAAGTGTTGGGACAGTCTGGAGTCAGGACCCGAGCATGGGGTAGGGGTGAGGGAAGGCAGAGAGGTGGGAGGGCGACTGAAGGCATGATTGAAGAGGAGGTTTTGAGACCGGCCTTGAAGGAGGCAAGGGAGAAAGCGAAGCAAAGGGACTGTGGGATGGAGATCCAGAGTGTGGGGGCAGAGAGGCTGAAAGCCCGGCCACCGATGGTAGGGCGGGTCGGGCGGGAGACATGGAGCAGGCTGGAGCCCGATGAATGGAGGGAGCGGGCAGGTTGATAGGGAGTCAGCAGAGAGGTAGGAGGGGGCAAGGCCATGGATGGTCTTGAAAGTGAGGATGAGGATCTTGAATTCAATCCTCTGGGGGATGGGGAGCCAGTGGAGTCGGGCGAGGGTGGGAGTGATGGGGTCACGGAGCCTGGTGCGTGAGAGTACACGAGCTGCAGAGTTTTGGATGATCTATAGTGTGAAGGGAAGAGTTGGGAAGGCCGATGAGGAGGGAGTTTCCATAATCGAGCCTTGATGTGACGAATGCGTGAGTGAGGGTTTCGGCAGCCTGAGGCAGTGGTGGAGCCTGGCAATGTTGCAGAGGTGGTGGTAGGCAGTGCCAGTAATGGCGCGGATGTGAGGGAGAAAGGACAGTTCAGGATTAAACAACACCCAGGTTCCTGACAGGCTTAGCCAGGTTGAGTGTGCAGCCGTGGAGGCTGATGCTACCAGTATCCGAGGGCTCACTGGCGTGAGCCAATCAGGAGGGCCTTGGTCTTGCTGACATTCAGTATCACATACTCAAAGTGGCTATTCTGAAGATTAACTTTGGTGACTCTTGAGTACTACTAATATCACCCACAAAATACACTTTACTTATTAAGCGCTTTGGGACATTTCATAATGTGATAAGTTGCTAAATTATAAATAATCTTTGCATTTAATTTAGTACTGTGAAGTGTAGTGACCGTATACTTGTAGGCAAACATGCCATGAGGAAGAAATTTAGTGGGGGGGGGGGGGATTGTTGGCAAGGTGACCGGGAGAAACTCCCTTCTGAACAGGCAGATGGGAACTCAATTTAAAGTCTCCTCTGACACTGCAGAACTTGCCAAACACTGCACTGGAGTGTCAGCAACCTAGACTGCGAGTCCAAGTCCCAATGTGGGTAGATGTGATACTCTGTTCAAATCAGTGGACAGTCAACCCCTAATGAGGTAAAGGCAAATCTACTGCAAAGTTAAAGGCAACCCCGTCAAGCGTTATGGTTTAGATTTCCTCCCCGTATTTTACCTGTATTTAAAAAGTATGCACCATGATATGCCAGGCAGGATGTAACAAAGGCATGAATAAGGGTCTTGGCAACAGTTGGTGAGAAATGGGCAGAGGCAGGTGTTCTGGCAGAGGTGAAAGCAGTCTTGGTCAGGGACCGAACGTGAGGGAGAGAGGAAGGAGAGCTGAGGATTGGACCGGGCACAAAGGTTGCGCACTCGTTCATTGAGTTTCACAAAGAGGAACCAGGGAGATTGAGAAGATCAGAGCCAGGAGTGAGTTGACACTGCTGGGGGAATGAAGGAGGAGGATTTTAGTCTTGTGATGTTTGTGACTTTAGCCCCATTTCCCCAAACCCTCAGATGATTCTAACCACCCTCTCATTATAGCCAAGCTCTTTCGTGTTATGTACCAATCCAGCAAAGTCACTGGACACCCTCCAAAGGTTAGTACAACCTTCCAAACATTGGATGTCCAAATCAGGTATGACCAGCACTGCTTCACTTTTATATTCTGCAATCCTGGTTAAGGCCCAGTGCCCCATTAGCCTTATTAATTGCTTTTTTGCATCCCAAACTAGATTTTAATCATTTATGTACTTGGATTCCTCGATTCTTTTGCTCTTCTTATCTTCCTGATTTAAAACATATCTGTTATCCTTGCGCCTGAAGTGTACTTATACTTCGTAATGACAAATTTTATCTACGTTAGTTCTGCTCACTTCTTTTGCATTGACCAGTGAAAGATATAACAGGACCAATGCGTATTGTGTAGGGGCAGCATTTTCATTGAGACAGTGAATATTTCCAATGGTTTGACTTCTTCTCAAAAGTATTCCGAACAGTATTCCAAACACTGTTCGGAATAGGAATTGAACCCATCACCATTAGTTTTACACAATACAGTACAACTGTGTGCAAATCCATAAATATTCTAACTTACTTTGAGCAGAAGGCAAAGTCAAGTTTGTGATGACACCAACTTCCTTCAGATAAAACTTGTTGCTAGTAGTATTCTGAATAAGAAAACATACAGATGTTAAATCACAGATGACAATGTTGAAAATGTAGTGACTTGTATACAAAATTATGTTGAAAAGGTATGTTAGATATAATGGCACAGCCAACAAAGTTCTTCATTTGCTATTTCAAATCTCGTTCCATAATAGAGTAAACCCCTAGCTATCCGGTGACCACATATCTGGAATGTATCCAAAAAAGATTCTGTGATTCAGGGTGCTAAAAAAACCTATTCCACACGCTAAAAATCCATTGCAGGTTTTCAACCTCCCACCAGCCCGTGTGATATCACAATTTGACTGCGATTGGTTTAGCCCAAGGCCTCTCCGAAGCTGCATCACATAAGTGGCAAATACAGAATTATTGTTATTTTTTGTTTTTTGGTAAATTTTTTATGCATTTCAAATTCATTTATTTTATAGATTAGGAAGGTTTTTTTTTAAAAAAACTGATTTAAATTTTAAGTTAAGAATTAGCAGCTCTTTGGAAAATGCCAGACCAGATCCTCCCCCACTCCCAACGGTCCGGTTAGCCTGGGGTTTATTGTATATCAAGTTTTATTGGATCAACAGGAACCATTTGGAAAGCTTTAATCTTTAATACATAGATTATGTACATGAATGTATGGAACTTCCATAACTTATCACTCACCACAACAAAGCGAAATGTAAGGACAGTTGAATCATCTGTCAGTTGAAGAAATGCCCAATCATGGCTACAGTTTCCATTCGAGTTGGTTACATTGGGTTGGATATTGAAAACCTTCTGTGCCGTCTAAAGAGAAAAACACGTGTTGATATTTGACATTTTTACTGCATGAATAAATAATGCAGGTTTCATAATACAATTTAAGGATTTCCAGATTCACATTATACCAATAGAAAAAACACTCCTAAAAGAATACAGGTTCCTTTGTAAAAGTCAACGCACTCGATCACTTTTTTAAAAAATTCTGAAAGCAATGACACAGCTGCTCAGATTCAGATAAAATACAAGGTTTGAGAAATTGATAGGAATACCTGGAGGCCAATAACTCATATTCTGTTCACATTTCAAAAACATCCAACTTTCAATTATGTTGAGGCAAAGCCAATGCTATTTGCTGTAGAGCACCTTCAGTCCCAGCAATGATGCAGCGACAATGAAAGATGCCCAAATTGTCAAGAATTGGAATACTTCAGCAGATGGGAAAAGACCATTAGCTCCAACTAAATCAGTTCAAAGGAATACAAGGAAATACAGTAAAATCCTGCTTTACGGACTCCAGGTATCCGGAACCCACTTATTCGACCAACTCCAAAATGTAAAAGATTTTTAATTCCACGGACCCACACGTGTATGCTCCCGCCGGCCACTCTACTAGCACGCACACCTGGTTGACTGATCGGCTTCAAAAGCCAGGGATATCTACTTTAAATCCCACCAATAGAAGACAGCTTATTCACTATCTTCTGCTCACGGGATTCAAATAATTACAGTGCCAATAATTTAGTGTAAAGTGAATTGACTGTATATTTTGTGGGTGAAACCCGGCAGCCAATTGTACACAGCAGTGTCCCACAAACAGTCGTGGATTGAAGTGAAGAGTATCCAAACCAAATAAGAGTTCCGTGCATCCCACCTACAGATGGCTATCCAGACATATTTGTTGGAATGGAATGCACACTCTCTCCTGGAGGGACGCATCCCATTTACTAACTCCAGAAAATAGTAGATGCAGGTTGACAAAGAGCTTACTGACCCCAGAGTGTGTGTGGGGTACAGCTAGAATCCACCAACTAAAACTGCACAACTTGCCATTGGAAGCAGTCTGGCAAGCTTTCCCATTGCTTGTCCAGCTAGGATCACCCTACCTGTTAAGGTTGTAGCTTGCAGGATTAACGGCGAGTTATGTGGGAAGAGTCATTGCCCCCAGTGACTGGTTAGCCCTTCCAAGTTCTGCCGATGAGCCAGGCTGACTGTGCTGTCATCAGCAGTGCCCTGGAATACCATGGACCCAAATGGACTACTGATACTGCCACCTTAGAGCCAGTTCAGCTCCAAGAAGTCCTCACCTACATCTCTCTTCCCTCAAGTGAGGGTACCTTGGCAAATAGAAGTACCGTACCCACTGTGAAGCCACCTCCTCCTCCTCCAGGGTACTTAGCGACAAGTCAGTATAGGCCACAGCCCTCCCTCCCTAAAGCCACTTCAATGCTTGATCCTGGTCTTTGTAAAAGGGCCAGAGGAAGCCCCTCCCCTTCCAGGAGCTTGAATCCATAAAGGAGACTGTTTGCTCACAGGTCTTAAATGCCGCAAGCTTGAGATGCATTTGAACCTTGCTGTCTTTAAAGAGACAAGCACAACCGGAATACCCTTCGCCCCTTCTCAGCGCGAGAACCAAGGATTCCCAGAGCAAGAATCATTGGAAGTGTTGCCTCAAATTGTAAACATGCTGTTATCTCGTATGTGATATGTAATGCTTGCTCTATTTATCCATTTTAAATTGATTACCTTATTATTCTTTGTAACATAAGTAATATTAAGTTGTAGTCCCATCTGAGCAAGAAGGCAAGTTTCATTCACACCGCTAATATTATATGTTCTTGGAGCTGGATTCCCTGGGTTTGATGATGGGGAGGTTGTTGGTGTTGGAATGGTAGTCGTTACAGTAGTGGGTAGAGTTGTTGTCACGTCACCATCACATAGAGTTTCTAAAGAAATTGAGAAAAAATAGTCATTTTTAAAAAAAAATGATTTAAACCTAGGTAGATCCTCACAAATGATACTGAACAACCCAAGTACATTTTGTGAACATTTAATGTGAAAAACATTGGACATAATCGTATGTCCCAAGTTTGTCCTCTGCAACTTTTAGTAACATCACTGAATAGCTATCATCCTCTGCTGGTTCCTGCAACCTGATATATACTTCAATTATTTCCCCAAATTATTTACAAGCAAATCACCAATTATTTCATTTGTACATTCTGCACTATTCTACAATGTGCGTGAATTGTTGCAACTTTGGATTGTGGATACAAAACAGTATAAAATTCCAGAATTTTACAGCAAAAACTTTGACAGTACATTTCGTACCCAACAACAACTTGGATTTCTAGTGTCCTCCACGCCGGACGGCGTCTCAGAGCGCTTCACAGTAACGGATCCCGGGGCCAGGCCAGGGGGAGGGGGAAGAAGGTGACCAAAGGCACAGTCAAAAAAAAAGGTCTTCAGCCGAGACCGAAAATGGGAAGAGAGGGGAAGGGAGTGAGGAAGGGAGTTCCAGAGCCTCAGGGCGTATTGGCTGAAGGCATGGCCGCCGAAGGTGGAGCGGGCAACTCGGGGGACGAGGAGGTCAGACCTGGTGGAACGAAGGCAACGGGCACTGTTTTGAGGAGAGAGGTCAGAGAGGTAGCGGGTGCAGAGGAGTGGAGGGATTTGAAGACAAGTGTGAGGATCTTGAAGTCGATCCTCTGGTACAGGCAGCCAGTGCAGTCTGGCAAGGACTGGGGTAATCGGGGAGCGGAGTTTGGTGCGGGTGAGAATGCGGGTGGCAGAGTTTTGTATAATCTGGATTTTATGGATGGTAGTGGAGGGGAGGCTGGCAAAGAGTAGTCCAGCTGAGAGGTGACAAAGGCATGGACCAAGATTTCAGCGGCTTTTGGAGAGGTATTGGCGGAGACGGGCGATGTGTCAGAGGTGGAAGAAATTGGTGCTGGTGAGGGACCAGATGTGGGAGAGGAAGGGGGTCGAACCTGAAGCCTAGGTTGCGTACGGGTTCGGAGAGTTTAAGGGGGAGGTCGGGCAGGTGGAGGAGGTGAGAACCGTGAGATTTTAGACTTTGACGAGAGCCAATGATCATGTTTGAGTGCATTTCAGAGGGGAGAGAACAGAAGAGAAAAGAAAATGCTCAGTTTGGAATTAATTCGTCAGACTTTTTTTTATATTTTGTGAAAATAGCAGCCATGTTTACTATTGACACAGGAGTTGTACATATGGTGAAAATGTGTGTTGCCGCATCACCACTTGGAACTAAATCAGATACTCTGAAACCATCTATATAACCGTCTGAAACCACCTAAAATAGAAAGTGGTTTTTTTGCAAATCTATACACAGCAATGTTTTAAAAACCTTAGCAAGAGTAGAAAAAAATGGCAGACCACCAATTTTGACAAATGTATGCCTCAATTTTTTCTCATCAGATTACACATTTTTTTCAATAACTCAAGGTAAAAGCTGAAAATTCTTGCCATTTTTGCTGAAAGTATTGTCCGGTAGAAAAGCTTCCATTTGGATATTGCTCATAGTTACAGTCACATTCTTCAAATGCACAGTATAGCCACTGAAACATGTGTATGTTGTGTTCATTTTCCCACCAACGTTTGTAACATTTGAAACTACAGTTATCAAGCCTAAAAGAGGGAAAAAAAATAAAAACATAGTTTAAAAATTGTGGACAAATTGTAATTATATAGACTCCAAAACAATCTTTGTAGATAAAGCAACAAAAATAGTGCAATTATTCAACTCAATTAAGCACCCAAGAGCAATTGTGGATACTCAAAATATGTCTCATAAAGCCACTGAGAAAATTAGGAGCAAACTGTATAAAAATAGTAGCCACCATTTTGGTCATTTGGTTGGTCTCAAAACAATAAAACACTTTCCTTCATACTTCCTATATATGCCAAATATGCATCAAATTTCCTCTTGAATTTGCTGATAAAATTTATGCTATAACAAAGTAGGTTACAACAGGGTTCTACTGTTTGCCACTCTTGTGTAAAATAACTTCAAAAACTGTTCATTTCTTCTTCTGAACTTTAGTCAAAAATACCTTGGTAGAGATTGCGACAATGTTAAACATTAGAGTTCGTCATTTCTACGATCTTCAATAACTTCAATAAGATCTCCCTAAACCTTGCCTTCTCTGGTTTAAACACTCCCACTTTCCATAGCTTTCCCCTGAAACCCAGGTAGTTAATTCCAGCTATTAATTTATTTGCCCTTCACTCTAAACTTTCCAATACCAAAATGTTTTACTGAAAATCAGAATTCGTACTCCAGGTAGGGAGATTTGTATTCCCCAAGAAATTTCAGTATCACTTTCTACAATTTATAGTTCCTTTAGATATAGCATTCATCTATAAACTACACATTACATCCTTTACAGTAATCATGTGAAACTCTTTTGAGATGCCCTTCCAATGTGAAAGACGCTTAGATCAAATGCAAGGTTTATTATTATTTACACTTCAACAACAACTTTCACTTACATAGAGCCCTCCACACAGGGTAGCGTCTCAGAGTGCTGAACAGTGGCGGATGCTGACTCCGGGGTCGGGTGGGACCCGGTGGTCGTAAACATGGTCGAAGGTTTCAGGCGGGACTTGAAAAAGAGAGGGGGGCCAGGCGGAGAGATTGAGGGAGAGTGTTCCAGAGTTTCGGGACATACTGGATGAAAGTGCAACCTCCGATGGTGGAGTGGGGTCCGAGAGTTTGAGCAGGAGTCCTGTGGAGTCCTGCAGCTCAGTGGTTAGAGCACTCGCTTTGCAAGCGAGAGACCTGAGTTCAATTCCAGGCAGGGCGAAACCTTGGGCAAGTTTCCTTACTCCACACGCCTAATAATAATCCCTCCAAAAAACAAAAACAATAATAAATTGGGCATTTTCAATCCACAACTGTTTGTGGGACATTGCTGTGCGCAATTGGCTGCCGCGTTCGCCCACAAATATACAGTCAATTCGCTTTACAGTATATTCCGTGAAGCGCTTTGGGACGTCCTCCTGACGTGAAAAGTGCTATATCAAAATGCAAGGATTATTATTATTATTAGGAGGCCAGTGCCAGGTGGTGGAGTGGGGAGTGAGGAGGTCGGAGAGGTAGGGGAATGCCAGAGAGTGAGGGGATTTGAACACGAGCATGAGGATCTTGAAGTTCATCCGTTCGATGATGGGGAGCCAGTGGAGCCTGGCCAGACTGGTGAGATGTGGGTATGGAGTTTGGTCTGGCTCAGTATGTGGGCAGCAGGGTTCTGGATGAGCTGGATCTTTGCAATAGTGGAGCTGGGGAGACTGGTGAGGAGTGCTTTTGAGTAATCCAGGCTGAAGGTGACAAACGTATGCACAAGGGTTTTGGCTGCATTTGGGATAAAGTACAGTCGGAGGCTGGTAACATGGTGGAGGTGGAAGAAGGCGTCCTGGTCAGGGACCGGATGTGGGGGAGGAAGGACAGCTGGGGGTTGAACTGTACGCCTAGATTGCACACTGGTTCGGTGAGTGTGAGTGAGAGCCCAGGGAGGTTGAGGAGTTCAAATCTGCAGGAGTGAAGATGTTGACAGGAGCCAAGAGTATGGGTTCTGTCGTGTCCACATCCAGCTGAGCTGCAGGAAGTTTACACTCATCCAGGCCCTGATGTCTGCCAGACAAGCTGATAGAACATCAGTGGACCTAGTGTTGCTACTAGAGGAGGCAAAGTAGATTTGTGTGTCATCCAGATACATGTGGAAGTTTACCCCATGTCTACAGATGACACCACCCAGAGGGAGCATATAGATAAGGAAAAGAAGAGAGCCAAGGATGAAGCTCTGGGGTACCCCGCAGGTGACGGGGTGGGAGGAAAAACCATTTGACGAGATGAAATAAAGGCGGTTAAGTAGGACTCAAACCATGCGAACCACTGAAGATCTTGCTTTCAAATGGTTTCAGCAAACTACTCACACGTACCTCCATATCCCTCACCTTAATCACAATTTAGTTTATCTGCTCAGCTTACTTTTTTTCATCTTACCATTCTGCATTTGTTCAAATTAAATAGCATTTGCCACTTGAACCAGCTCAACTAACCAATACAGCCAGAGTTCTCTATTTGTTATTTGCAGTGCCACTCCCTCTTATAGCATCACCAGCAACATAGCTTTGTTTTAGTCCCCAATTCCAAATCATTTATGTAATAGTGTAAATAGTGTGGATCACAGCACAGAACGCTTAAGACAACCAGCTAGTTATTCTTCTATCCACAAACATCTGATACTTCCCATGATTCAATCGATTTCTGATCACTTAGAAGCTTATCAATTCTAAACTTCTCAAGAAGCTTCAACATTCACTCCTTTAATATGTTTTCCAATATTCGCATAAAAAGATGAAACTCACCAGCCTGTCCACCTGGTTGTATATTTTGCCTCCTATTTTAGAAACACTTTAATTTTCCATAGTACCAAACTTTAAAACAGATGACTATACTGCAGTTTAACTTACCACCAGAAGTTGCATTAGGAAAAAGTGAACGATCACTGGCATTGTAAGAAATACTTAGTACTTCTACTCTGTAGGTCATGGAGTCCTTTGAAAAATTCATGCCGATGGAATGACCATCCCCAAAGCTGATTACCAGTTGAGGTACAGTCATGTTATTACAACTGCTGCTTGGATTTACTGTTGCATTCTTTGAAAGGTTGAAGAAACTTGTAGCCTGAAATAGAAAATAAAAGTTACATAAAGTGATTTGGCACAGAAATAGGCCATTCAGACCAATTAGTCCATCCTGATGTTTATACTCCACACGTGCCCCCACCTGTATTATTCCTCTATTCTCTTCCCCTCAAGTATGCATAAAATGTTCTTGAATGCGTTAAAGTTACTGTTTCAATCACAGCTTCCAGCAGCGAATTCCTCATTCTGCATGAAGTTCCCCCTAAATTTCCCATTTATCTACTACTTTATCTATGTCTTTCAGTTTTGGACTCACTAACAAGTTGAAAGAGCCCATCAACATCAATCTTATCAAATCCTTTCATAAGCTCCCAAATAGGGAAAGGGGGGGGGGGGGAGAATGTACCTCCACAAGTCCTGAATTCTGTAAATATTGCTTTCCCTACCTCAAACATTATTCTGTCATGGAATCATTCCCTCCCATTAAAAATCGCTAAAAAAAAGACAGCATTGTATTGACGTAAGCAGCACAAAACATGCTTTTGTAAGAACCACTTGGCTATAGACATGCCTTAATGGATCCCAGCTAGCAAGGAACTCGGGACCTTATATTTTGCTACAGTTCACTGAACATTTCATGGGGAAGCCAGAAAATTACTTATGTATTCATAACAGAATTAACATCTTCATTTGGGCAAATGAGTTCTCCAAATGCAGGTAATATCAATTTGGGAGAAGAAAAACATTAAGTAGCTGTCCCTTAAGTATTTGCTATTCTAAGAACCCAACAGATCATTTTAATTATCCCATCAGCAAAGGAATTATGGCCTGCAAAAATCCTCTTGAAATGGAACTTTGATTTTTAAATCAAAAAGGATTTATTCTTCAATTTGTAATGAAATCATTGAGCTGAAAGGGTACAGAAATCTTGAGATACGACTTTGAAGAGGAATCTGAATGCTTACAAGTAATTACAAAACTAACCCAGCATTTCAATCTTCACTTCGCTAATACTGCCATTTACACCCTAACTCTTCCCCTGTACTCTGTAGCAGAATGGTTTCAAATCCAGAGAACAAACTGCACTTTTCAGAGCAACCTTCACCCATTGACTTCAGAACTGCTACATAATGGTTGAATTTTGCCAATTATTAACAACGTTTTAACACATTTAAGCAACAATTTAAATCATCAATTAACTAGAATATTAAATGCAAAATGTACAGAAAAAATTACTTACCATTCTTTTATCAATTGTTTCATAACTGATTACAAATGTAGCCTCAAATTTAGCCAATATACAGGTTTCATTCCCAGTCTTCACCTCAAACGTGTTTGCTGATGCAGTTTGTAGGAAACCTGCATGGAAGAAGGCAGTTAACTGCATTTTAATAATATTAATTGAATTTGACCTTATGTCGTCAAGACATCTCAAACGTTTCACAAACTATGCAGTCATGTGTAGTGACTGTAGATTTTATCAGATCACTGATAACTCATTGTGATTCTGTTGTAAATGGTAATGTGTTAAAAGATTTAAACTCTTACAAAAGATCTCTTTATTTAAAATAAACCTCTGCCCATACCAGTACTGCAATATGTGCCCGATTCAACAACAGGGCAAAGATCGCACACAATATAAAAACACCAGGGCACTATAATTGCAAATCTTCCCAATAAAGAGTTTATACTCGTACTGTACTCCCTTATCAGAAAAGGACAAAATACATAGACCAAGAGCATTTATGAGTTGTGGAATACTATTTTCAAGAATAAAAGCAGGTAGTTCTGCCTTTACATCTTGTACATACCAAGACAAATTCAAGAGTGATGGTTAGATTTCCAAAATTAAGGCTTGGCTACAACCAAAAAAAATCCTCTTTGACAAAAATATTGACCATCATTTGGTAAAGATATAGATAGGATAAATTAAGATTGCTTCTCTACAAATATAAATGGAAGTTGTTTGTTTTGTTTGGACATTTATTCAATCATTTCTTCTCTAGGTGAGGGTTGAATCCTAAGCTTGTCATATGCCAAATGACCAACTAATGACTATCTTCCTGGAAATAGGGAAGGAAAACAAAAAAGGAGATAAGCGGGGTCTACTTGCAGCTGGGTTGGCTCTAAGGTGTCATGCACAACAGAATATCAAAATTGAGTCTATCCTTTATTGCAGGTCCTGAGCCAGACAGGTTCACAATATTCAAGGGGACTGCTGATGACAGCCTGGCTCATTGGCAGGAATTAGAGAGGCAGACCAGTCAATGACAGCAGGGATTTCTCCCACTCAGCTTGTAACCATACGACTATAAATACACTTTGTCGGTGCTGGCTCTTTTAAAGAACAATTTTTCTAATCCCATTTACCTCCCTAATCTAATCTCCCCATTTGCTAGCTATCTGAAATTGATGCCCTCTAGTCACAGCAAGCCAAAGTCCTAATAGATAATGTGGTCCTTCCTAGTTGGTCAAGCAGCATGAAAGCTTGCTAGATAGTGCTCTCAATGGCAAGCTATCAATGGTTAAACTCCAGACGCACAATCTAGGGTCCCTTTGCAACATGTGCCCCTCAGCTCCTTGGGACGTCCTCCCGACTTGAAAGGCGCTATACAAATGCAATCTTGTTGTTGTTGTTAATACATTCCAGAATTAGATAAGCAGGGTGTGTTCCTCTAGGGAGAGAAGGCAGGAAGGTTCCCACATGTAGGTGGCATAAATTTGTGAAAATCTGTCTGGTTTGGATACAGCTAAGCATCATGATTGATTTCCGCACGTAACAAGGCGGTCCGGGAGACCAACCAAAATACTTCTCTCAGGTTTAGATTCAGTGATGTTTTTTTCCCTTCTTCAATTGCAAGAGGTCCATTGTTGATTGGCTATAGGAAACAGGGTAGATATTGTTTACTTTGCTGGCTCTGTTGCATAAATTGGAGTAGCTCACGTAATACTGTAACCTCTTATATACCGCTCTCACTCGGTTACCTGCGGGGCACCCCAAGGATCCATCCTTGGCCCCCTCCTCTTTCTGATCTACATGCTCCCTCTTGGGGATGTCATCCGCAGACACTTCCACATGTATATGGATGACACCCAACTCTATTCTTCCACCTCACAACGGGACCCCCAGTCCCCTGATATTCTGTCAGCCTGCCTGACAGACATCAGGAGCTGGATGAGTGCGAATTTCCTTCAGCTGAATGTTGACAAGACAGAAGCCATACTCTTTGGCTCTTGTCAACATCTAAAATCACATGGTTCTCACCTCCTCCACCTACCCGACTTCCCCCCAAAACTCTCTGAAGCCGTACGCGATCTAGGCGTCAGGCTCGACCCCCAATTACCCTTCGTCCCCGACATCCGGTCCCTCACCAGCACCGCTTTCTTCCACCTCCGACGCATCGCCCATCTCTGCCAATACCTCACTCCAAAAGCCGCTGAAACCCTGATCCATGCCTTTGTCACCTCTCGGCTGGACTATTCAAATCCCTTCTCGCCGGCTTCCCCTCCACTACCATTCACAAAATCCAGGTCATCCAAAACTTTGCCACTCGCATTCTTACCCGCACCAAACTCCGCTCCCCGATTACCCCAGTCCTTGCCAGACTGCACTGGCTGCCTGTCCCAGAGAGGATCGACTTCAAGATCCTCACCTTTGTCTTCAAATCCCTCCACTCCTCTGCACCCCCTACCTCTCTGACCTCCTCTCTCCTCAAAACAGTGCCCGTTGCCTTCGCTCCACCGAGTCTGGCCTCCTCCTTATCCCCTGAATGCTCAGCTCAACTGTCGATGGCCGTGCCTTCAGGCACTACACCCCAAGGCTCTGGAACTCCCTTCCTTACTCCCTTCTTATTTTCAGGTCTCCGCTGAAGACCTTTATTTTCAACGGGGCCTTTGGTCACCTTCCTCCCCCTGGCTCGGCCTTGGGATCTGTCACTGTGAAGCGCTCTGAGATGCCGTCCGGCGTGGAGGGCGCTACATAAATCCAAGTTGTTGTTGAGGACAAACCACAAACAAGGTTTGGGAAAGTAGATTCCCTCACAAATCTCTTAATAAGTGAACCACAGTTGACTTAATAGCTGTGAAAGTATTTTCAATTGCAAGATCACAAATACTAAATTAGAAGGTATTTTAAAAATATGGTATGAACAAAATGTCAGGATCAACAATGAGGCTATTCACTCATGCACTTGTTCATGCGCTGCTGAAACTCTGGTCCACACCTTTATCACCTCAAGGCTGGACTATGGGAACTCTCTCCTCGCCGGCCTTCCCGGCACCTCCCTCCACAAGCTGCAGGTCATTCAGAACTCTGCAGCTCGTGTACTGTCCCGCACCAGGCTTCGGGACCACATCACTCCCCTTCCCTCCCCTCACCCTGACCATTTCCCCCCTGCTCGGGTCCTGACCCAACTGCCCAGCGCTTTGGGACGTCCTCCCGACGTGAAAGGCGCTCTATGAATGGAATCTTGTTGTTGTTGTTGTGCTTGCAAAGTAACTGTTCAGCTTTAGAAATATTTACTACCTCTCAGGTGGTCTTAACCTATGTAGTACTTTTAAAATTCTAACTAAAACACTGTATCACATGTTCAAGCTACACTTTAGAGAAGGCAGATTAATCTCTGTAAGTCATATTCATATGTCTCTCAGGAACAGTAATTATCTGAGAAAGTTCATGAGACTCAAAAGACAAACAGAAAGCATTTAAACTGTCATTTAAGGGTAAATTAAAAACACGTCAGAACTACACAAAAAATCTAAAGAGAATAAATGTGAATTTAAGACAAAAATGTAGAAAATATTTTCATTGCATCATGAAAATAGTGGCAAGAATGGCCATAAATTACTCAGAAAAAAAACACAATACTGCAGATGCTGGAAATCTGAAAACAAAAACAGAAATCGCCGGGAACATTCAGCAGGTCAGGCAGCATTTTTTGAGAAAGGAAAGTGAGTCAACGTGGCGGATCCACGACCCTTCATCAGAACTTACTCAGTATTGGTTGAGGCTTGGGAGAAATCTGTCCTTTAAGCGCTCTGGGTTACTACCCTGGATGAGGGGTGCTATATAAATGCAAGTTGTTGTTTATTCTCCCAAATGAGGAACTGCACAGACAAGACTCTGTAAAACATTTTGCTGGTAATTTTCTTCCTTTTATTGCTCTCATACAAGATATTCAATCCTGCTCAGGTGCAGATCCAAAGGATGTTCCAGCAGCCTACCACAATTTACTTAAGTGGCTGTTCTTCATGCTGGAACCTAGGCAGTTAGTAGTTTCACTGTAAAACGGAACCACAGCGAAAATCCTATCCTAATTTCACTAAGAGCGACATTTTTATTTTCGACTTACAATTTCTACTAAATACACACCCTTCCGCCCTCCATCCCTCAGACAATGGGCTCGAACTCACAACCTTCTGACTTACAGGCAAGAGTACTCCTGATTCAGCCAGGCATACGCACACTGCCCCTACAGTTCAATAACCAGTCAGCATTCACATCCAGGCTAACTAAGAAAACAACCACTAGGCAAGGTATAACCAGCTGCTGGCACCTTTCAAGCCAAGTAAGTCACGTTATAAAACATTCACCACATTCAAGGGGGGGGGGTTCAATACTGAACTTTTAGAGGAAAACAATATATCTGTATTTGGTGCTTGCTTCAGAGAAATGCTTCTGAATGCATTAGTCGCATAAAAGTATATTAAACTTTTTTTTCAAAAAATACAACTGCACAACTGTCTACTGATCTACAAAAATAACGTCACTTTTGATGAATAGTGACTGAGAGCATGAGGATCATTCTACCTGAGGTCAGCAGATCATTAATCCGTTTCCAGATTAATAATACATCTACTTTCTGCTGTGGGTCGAAGCTCAAAAACTATGGGGCACACTAGAGTAACCACACGAGTCCCCTCTCTCCCCTCCAAGCGCTCTGAAATGCTACCTGCGCGAAGGGCCACTGTATAAATAAATGCAAGTCGTTATTCATTTAAGGGTTAGCATTTGTTCCTCCTATATACGATATAGAGCTGATTTTGCAACTGGGCCAGTATTTGGCAGCAGTCTGGCGTACTGAAGGAAAGTGTACACTGAGACTGCCATAGCCAAAAGTTGTCCAAAACAGGCATTCCAGATCTTTCCTCACATTTGCGGACGAACTGCCACACATCACCGAGAATCCGAGTGTTCAGAGGGATCTTTCACTGAGCGCAATAAGTTGAGCAACTGGCACTACAATGTCGGCCAACACCCTACAGGGTGGAACAGCCGCTGAGGGGCTTTTTTCCAGCTCCGGTGGGGCGTCCCGCAGACTAAGCTGTGAACATGAAGATGGGGAGGAGAGGGGAGGGGAGGAGGGGCATTCACAGCAGAGGACCAGGAGCCCATGGCGGACGAGCAGGAGCTCCGGTGTAACTCCCGAGCACGGGAGGCTGCCCCCGCCCTCGCTGGCCGCCGGGCCCCGCCAGATCCACACCTGGCGGCAGGGGGTGAAGTTTGCAGCTGGCGGGGGCTGAGGAGGAGGAGGCACTGACGCACCGGCGCTCAGGCCGGGACACGGCTGGTACTCGGTCTCGGGAGGCCGAGGCTCGTGTCGCGGCTGGTCGGGGGCTCTCGTCTGCTTTGCGGCGGCGGGGGAGGGCGGGCGGGCGGGAGGCCGAGCCGAGCTGGCGGTCTGTCCTTACCCGAGGCGAGCACCAGGAACAGGCCGCGAGAGAGCGCGGTCGCCATGGCTTCTTTCATGGTCCGACTGACGGTTCGCGGCCGCCTCGCGCACTGCACGGAAACCCTCCGCCTCACGTGACTCATTACATCATCGCGGGTGCACCGCGCGCCTGCGCAGCTTGGCCTGTGACCAGTTCCCTTGACTGAGTCACACGCTGCCAACGCCATCACAAGACTCGCACCTGACAGCCGCTGTTATTGTGTCAGACCGATTTGCTAACTTTGCAACTTTTTTTTTTGAACAGGAACCTCGACGCGGAGACGAGTTCCACCTTTTTCCCTTTTTTTTTTGCACACCGGTCCCTCCCTCCCTCCCAGCGTTCAGGCGTCCTTTCTGCCTCAACAGGAAAAGTGACAGAATTAGGCCATTCGTATGAAATCATTAGTTGGACGACTTAATGGGACGGTGGTTTAACTTTTAATGTAATTATAATCTTTGCATTTTTTTAAAAAAAAGCCTCTTACATCAGGAGCCTTTGAGGACGCTCAAAGCACCTCAAGAGTTTTACTGTAAAATGTAGTGACTGCCATATGAGCGCTCGCCTTGCAAGCGAGACACCTGAGTTCAATCCCAGGCCGGGCGAAACCTTGGGCAAGTTTCCTTACTCCACACACCTGATAATAATCCCTCCAAAACAAAAAACAATAATAAATTGTTCATTTTCAATCCATGACTGTTTGGCGAACACTGCTGTGCACAATTGGCTGTTGCGTTTCGCCCACAAATATACAGTAACTTCACTTTGTAGTATATTCTGTGAAGCGATCTGAGACGTCTAGAAGACGTGAAAAGCGCTATATCAAATGCAAGGATTATTATTATTAGGCAAGTTTCCTTACTCTTCCTTACCTAGCAGAAGTAGGAACCAATTGTTAGTCGATTGGCGGATCGCATTCCAGGGGTAATAATCCCACCAAAAATATATATAAGAATTTGGTCACTCAATCCACAACTATTTGTGGGACACTGCTGTGCGCAATTGGCTGCCACGTTTTGCCCATAAAATATACAGTCAATTCACCCTCCAGTATATTCTGTGAAGCGCTTTGAGACATCTCAACAATGTATCAAATGCAAGGATTATTATTATACAGTAGAAGTATTATACAGATTGCGGTCACCTCAGTAATCCAGCCACCTCACAATTGCGGGCACATTTTCAGTCTCTTTCATTGTCAATGTTAAAAGATAGTCTGTCTGCTTCACTAAACTGGGTACCTTCACTATTCAGGGCAATGGTCATTGATTGCAGCTGCCACAGCGCCCTCCTCCAATTCGAAAGCAGTACAAACACCCCCCTCTACTACTAACCTGTACAGTAGTGTGGTAAGCCTCAGGCATCTCATGGTGTTTCCTTAACGCTGCTACTGTGGGGGAAGTGGGCTCCAGTCGTGTATTTATGGCATGGGGATTGTTGGGATCATGGAAGCAGCACAAGGGGAAAATCAACGAAAATCGCCCAGCACTCATGGCCTAACCTGAGCTCCTGTGGTCAATTCTTGATAAGTGCTATATTCAGAGTACATGATTTGCTTGTACACTGTTTTGATTTAGTAACTGTTGACAAGTGTTGTAAACATCCCACCACAGAAGGAGTTGTCCTTACTTGAGAGTCAAAAACAGTAAGGGCAAAAGTCATAGACAGTTAGCTGTGATCTATGGCATTGGCAGAACACAAATTGGATGCATTCTCAAAAAGTAGGCTGAATACTTGACAGCTTTTGTTTTAAATGTGACAATGCCATTATTTTAATGAGATTGCAAAGTATGGTTGTTGAATGTTCATCACGCTTGCCCATTACCAAGGCCCTTAACATAACATCAGTGACCTGAATCAGTAATCAGGTCACCTCACTAAGTAGGTCACTTTTTCTCAGTCCCCTGAGTGACTGGATTTGTGAGGTTCTACTGTAACTGCTTCTGACTGCACCATGAGCTCTTTGCTGATGTTGGGGAGCTCTACTGTACCTTAATGTCCTAAGCAGGAATCCAGTCAAGACAGTGATGGCAAATGAAGGAAAGTTTGGAGAGCTAGAGTGGAGTCAAGGTGACTGTCAGGATGGTGATCAGTGTATACGATCCTTCTAATCTCTGCATTCTTCTAGCCTCGTCTTTTTTTGGCAATGTATTCCATAATCGTCAACCATTCTACATGAATCCTTCATAGCATTCATTATATCTGTCCTGATGTGGCTTGAAAGCAGCCACAAGTTAACTCCACTATTGTATTCAGAACACTGATTCCTCCTTTGATTTTGATGTCACAATTTAATATATGGGATCCTTGGCTTTATAGAGACATAGAGTTTAAGAGCAAAGACGTTATATTGAACCTTTACAAATTGCTGTTTAGGCCTCAGCTGGAATATTGTGTCCAATATCCGGGCACCACACTTTAGGAAGTATGTCAGAGCTTTGAAAAGGGTGCAAAAATTTACAAGAATTATATCAGAGATAAGGGGCTACAAATATGTGGAGTGACCAGAGAGACTGGGATTTTTCTACTTAGAACAGAGAAGGTTGAGGGGAGATGTAATAGAGGTGTTCAAAATCATGAGGGGTTTTGATAGATAGGGAAAAACCGTTTCCTCTGGTGGGTGGGTCAGTAACCAAAGGATACAGATTTAAGATAATTGGATGCATTGTCTGAAAGGGTGGTGGAAGCAGATTTAATAGTAGCTTTCAAAAGGGAATTAGATAGGTACTTAAAAGGAAAAAGGGTTATGGGGTAAGAGCTCTTTCAAAGAGGCAGCACAGGCACAATGGGCCAAATGGCATCGTTCTGTGCAGTAGAATTCTATGATATTTTAGCAAGATACACTGTAATAGCAACCATAATCCAAGTCAGGGAAAGTGGAATTAATGATAGCCACTATACCAGGAATAATTTTCTAAAAACATGACTGTTCTGCTGAACATTTAACATTTACAAAAAAATCAAGATAGTTGTCTCTCAGTCATTGATTTTCACAACAAATGCAAGAGATTCAGTAGACACTGAGGAACATTGCACCAGGAGTGGGTTATTTCAACCTTAGCAGCTTTGTCATTTTAATCACATTTCCCACCTTTTCTTTACATCTCAAATATGCTTATTAACAAGTATTTTCAACTTGTGCTGCATTCAGAGCCTTTTAGAGCAACACTTAAAATATTTTGCAGAGCTTTCAACATATCTGCTGTGCTGTCAGTTTCAAAGGTTTTCCAGCAACATGTGATGGTTACAAATCCCAGATTGTGTACTCTGCTGCAAAGAGTGAACAAGAGGCCCTGCTCTGTAGCCAACTGGACTGCGTACGAGCATACTTCAAAGCATGTGTTTCTTATAGGTGCAGACAAATGGTCAGCAACACCAGATGTGAGCTTCATTCTCCAAGACTTAATTAAGTACAACAATTTGCATACAAAGTACAAGCCTAATTTAATGCGTGAATGCATGAACCAGTCATCAGAAGGCTGATTAAAAGATTTTTTATCTGTGTAAAATAGAAACTTTGACATCATCCTTGCTCACTTCAATGGATTTTTAATATATATATGGCCAGATATTCTTCAGTTGGTTTGTTTTTATTTAAAAAAGTTATATTGTTACAGTATCCACTCCCAAGTCTTTCTCACCTCTCCTGGTCATTAGGGAAATATGTTTTTATTACTGTTTAACCTCCCTCCACCCAGCCACCTCCTAAAAAAACTTGTCACTACTGTAATCAGTGAGTGGTATTCATGGTGTTTGCTTGTGTCTGAGGGGTTGGGGCTACAATGTCAAACAAATTCTGAAAGAGATTAATGACTAGAAGACATACCACATGGAGCACAGCACATCAATCCATATGCAGAAGATACTGAAATAATAATAATCCTTGCATTTGATATAGTGCTTTTCACGTCGGGTGGACATCCCAAAGCGCTTCACAGAATACACTGTAAAGTGAATTGACTGTATATTTGTGGGCGAACGCGGCAGCCAATTGCGCACAGCAGTGTCCCACAAACAGTCGTAGATTGAAAATGACCAATTTATTATTGTTTTTTTTTTGGAGGGATTATTATTAGGCATGTGGTGTAAGGAAACTTGCCCAAGGTTTCGCCCTGACCTGCCTGGAATTGAACTCAGGTTTCTCACTTGCAAAGCGAGTGCTCTAACCATTGAGTTACAGGACTCCACGGGAATGAAGGAAAGCTACATTATATTGGTTCAACTTGAATACTGCATTGGAGCAGACCTTGCAGTTTAATAGTGTTGTACCAATATATCTGCAAATATAATATCCATATGAGTATATTTTAAGTTGAGTAAGAAAACTTAAAAACAATCCATCACAGAATGCAGCAAGTTGCAAGACACAGACCCCAATAATTCTTAGGATCTTTATTTCTTTAAAACCAAGAGACAACATATTTACAATATGTAACAAGTTATCACAAAAAAAACTCACTAAGTTCCAACTGACCTCCTTCACAACTAAACTGATCATTAGCAATCTGAATGAGTTACAATGTGAAGGAATGCAAAGGATCAGTTATTCATACTATATTGTACAAAGCCATTTTCAGCTCTTATATGTACAGTTCTGCAAAGAAAAAGTTTTAGGATTTTCTGTGAAAGTGCTGTCGGAGGACATCAGTGAAAGCAAAACCATTTTATGAAGAATTGAGTAGTGTCATTAAAAAAAACACAAACCTATTTTGAAAAAGAAACATAAATCTTTAAATTGCCAAAAGAAAGATTGACTTCTTTAATTTTCTCTGGTGGTAGTCATACAACTAGTGAGTAGTCTTTTGGCTTAATTCTACCTACCACAAATGTCAATAACAAGACTAGCATTAAATAAATGAGGCAAAGGGTAGTTGGCAGTTTTTAACACTAACAATTTAATTTTTCTAGCAAGAGGATTTTAGCAAGATATGGTTGAAAAGCTACAATCTTTCTATTTGGCACTTCTCAAGGATTTCCAGCAAATTCTCATCTTAATATGGCATATTTTAAACTACATAGACAAAATAAACATAAAACTTCAAAATGCTGTACACTTAAGCAAGTGTTTGGGCAGAGAGGGAGAAACTCGATGGCTCCCACCATTCCTCATGAAAATGTAATTTAACAATTATCATAGTTGAACATTTTGATCATTTTCATTTTTTTTAAAAAAGGATCTTTTTCATTATCACTGTACAAATACAGTAGATATTGTAACCTCTTGGAAACCCTAAGAATTGTATTATACTGTGAAGCATCCTACTTGCACGAGATTGATGAACAATACCAGCATATCAACAGATCCAAGTGTTATACTGAGGATCAAAAATCAAACTGTATAAATCTGAACTGAAAACCAAAGCTGAATGTAGCCAGTTCCACAATAGATCAATGACGAGGTTGGAAGAAATAGGAAATGGAGAATGGGTTCTCAGAGAAGTGCCTTGACTGTTGCTTCATGTGTATACCTGCACCTCTTTCATATTCCTGTGTGAATAAAACGCTTAGGAAAACAAAGTAGAACACACAAAAAAACACATACACAGCTGCAAGGGGTGTTTCCTTTACTTCATCATCCACAGACATGTATACAGCTGGTTGAATTATGTGCCACAATCCAACAATCAGCTGAGAAAGTCTGGAACAGCTTTAGATTGATTCAATGGTCTTGAGATGTTATTAACATTCAAAGTTGAAGTCTAGTGTTGACAATAAAGTCCTAGTTCATACTTTTATGCCACATAGTGGTATTGGTTGGCATTATCTTTGTCCCTCTCCATATAGTCACGATCAATAAGTGACTCGATTCTTTTCTTCAAGTCTCCAGGCTGTTTTTAAGTTAGGAAAGATAAGGAAGAGAAATAAAAGATTAGAAATTGAGAATATTACACATTTTTAAATACCATTCTATTTTCCCTGGAAAGTATTAGAATATATAAATACTGAGATAAATCTACTTGAATTCGCTAAATCAAAGAATGATCAGTATGTGAAAGAGTAACATCAATATAGAAAGAAAAAATATATTTTCTAGTTTTACAGAATTTTCTTTGTTTAAAACCTTTCTGATAATTATTCAGTGCTCTTCAGAGTGAAAGATGCTGTTGTTTGAGAATGTAATGTTATGACATCAAATAATAGCTAATTATTTTCTGACCTGAATCTGACACCAAAGTTCAGAATAGCCCTTGCTGCATCAATAAGACATTTCTTACACCTCATTTTTCAGGTATCTCTGAACGAAATAGTCAATTTGGTGTCCCTTAGCAACGAGTAACATAGATACTGGGGACCTGTGTCATCCAGAAACTCAATTGAGACTACCTATACCTATTTACTTCAGCGCCTCAAGCCAGAATAGCAAGGAAATTTTCCATTCCACTAGTATTGGCAGAATTAAAACGTGAATGTACTAATGATGAGTAAGCAAATTTACATCAGTCAATCTCATTCACATCATGGGCTGCGCGCAAATTGGCTGCTGCTTCCATCTACAAAATACAGTCCCTATACTTCACATTAAATCCAGTGAAGCATTTTGAGATTGTCTTTCCAATGTGAAAAGCACTATATCAAGTGCAAGGATTATATATATACACATTTTATTTTTTGAGCCACAAAACACTAAGAAAATGGGAAATATACTGATGTCATAATTTAGAATGATGGAGTCCTGTAGCTCAGTGGTTAGAGCACTCGCTTTGCAAGTGAGAGACCTGAGTTCAATTCCAGGCAGGGCGAAACCTTGGGCAAGTTTCCTTACTCCACACGCCTAATAATAATCCCTCCAAAAAAACAAACAAACAATAATTAAATTGGTCATTTTCAATCTACGACTGTTTGTGGGACATTGCTGTGCGCAATTGGCTGCCGCGTTCGCCCACAAATATACAGTCAATTCACTTTACAGTGTGTTCTGTGAAGCGCTTTGGGACGTCCTCCCGACGTGAAAAGCGCTATATCAAATGCAAGGATTATTATTATTATTATTATTAGAATGTAACTAATATGATTTTTTTCATTATGCAGCTTAGATGGAGGATGTGCGGTGCTACACACCAAATAACCTCTGCCTCAAACACCAAGAAGGGTACTTAGTAAGAAACTGGAGTGCTACACTGGTTCAGAAAAGGATACGTATGGTAGCAATCACCATCACCTTTGGAAAATGCCTGAAAATCAAGAGGTGCATAGAAAACATATGTACACTCTATTTGGCATTCTTTTATACTTTCTTCAAGCCTTTTATGAGAATAGTTAAAATTACCTTCACTGGAAATTTTAACTGGTTGTAAAGTTCTGAAACAAGGAGGTTATGACTGAGCGTTTTTCTCATTTTCATGATTCGAACAATAGCAGCATCTATTTGGTACTGTCTATCCTGGAACACTCTCTCTGTGGTGCTAGTTTGTTCCTCAACCTGAAAGAATCAGAAAGGTGTAATGAGATAATGAGTGATTGACGGATTTAGAATTGCATTCATTTAAGCTAATTGATTATAATTCTGATATACAACAATAAATATTTTAGCACTCAACATAGATTACATACAGTTTCTTTCATCTGGATTTGGTTAATCTTTATTCTGAACAATTTATGTTTAAAGTCATCATTGAAGATAATTTTGTCTCCATCTTCTACATCTTTTCCCTTTGGAGCTTTGTTCAAAACACGAGCTTTGCCACAGGCTAATGACTGCAATGTTCTTTTCAATTCACCATCCTCTAAAGATAGAAGTACAAAAATTGTACATTTAGTGTACAAAAAAGAAAGTACACATTGCAAATATATTCCCCAAATTTTAAATATTACATGTAAGAGCAACTAACAAAACTTCTAATCATATTTTGAGATATACTTCTATATACTTGCTTTCAAAAATAGACGTCACAATTTTTTAAGGACTACCCACTTTTATTGAGTCGTTCTATATCAAGCTAATTTATCCTCCATCTACAAATAAATAGAAAGTCAACCAAATCACGAGAGACTTTTAAGACTTTTTCTTGTGCTGCTGATGTGAGCTGTACAATCTTCCCTTGTACTATTGCTTTGGACTTAACATATGATAAGACAATGGCAAACTATTTCCATTCAAAAAGGGAGGACAGGGAGACAAGATAGCGTCACTAACGCATTTAATGATCTTAAACAATTATTAAACACAAGTAACTGAATAAATGTACTTGATCTATTTCCCATACCTATACCAGTAGCTGTTTTGATTTCTTCCACGCTGAATTCATCCCCTTCATTAAACATGAGCAGCACCAATGTTTGGAACAATGAAACCTGAAGTTCCTTTTTACCCTAAAATGGACAATGAAGAAAGATAAATTAGTGGCTTGAAATCCGGTTATTGCAAAAACAAATTCAGTCATTAACAGCACTGTACAAGAAATTTGAAGACCGCATATTCTTGCTGCAGCAAAATAGTTGTTCTATTGTCATTGGTTCATTTTTGGAGAGAGATGGACCAAAGGCAGACTGAAGTGTACTTGGGCCATTATTGTAAAATCTAATAAAAGTGTGACAATTTATTTAGAAGAGTTTTCCAAATATTTGAAAAGCAGAGTTGCAATATATTAGCAAATATTGCCGCTAGAGCAGGACTCCCTCATGTAATTGGAGCATCAGACTCTTGACAGCTAATTCTCCTATCCTCATGTCAAACCATTTACAGGTTTGAATTGGTGGTAAACAGTGCATGTTTCTCAATCGAGTCACCTTATTAAAGTCTGCAATGCCATTAGCTATGCACTGTTCCAAAAGTTAAAAGTAAAACAATTAAACAGTACCTCTTTGAATTCGGCTTTCAAAACAGAATGTCCTAAAGTTGGTTGCCACTGTAGTTTTCTGCCACTGTGTTTTCCCAGATAAAATATCTTAAAAATCTCCTGGAGTTTTACCATCTAAAAATAGAACACATCCTGATACAGCGACAGTACAAAAGCCATAAAGTAATTTTTAATGAAATTCCACAACAGACTAATTTTCAGTCATCAAAACTGTTTAAAAGCATTAGCTATCAGATTTCAGGAGGAGGCTATTTTATCATTAAGCAATTCATTATAATCAGCTTTCACTATCAACAGATTTCACTCATATTATTAGTGGGTTGAGTTTTCTTGGGGGATACAGATACCTAATCACAGGCTGGTTGGTATGTCACCAATAACAGAAATAGAACTGGATTAGGGGCTGTTGTAATAATGAAAATCGATGGATCAGATATTTTGCGTCTATTCATCCTGTACTTTGCACTTCCTGTTCTGTCTTTTTTAGCTGTGGTTAGAAATGGCTTTTTTTTAAGTCAAGATTTCATAACCCAGTTGAAGGCTGAGTAATAGGTATCCATGGTTGGAGTTACTAGGACCAACATATAATGGAATTAATTATAAGTGAACATACCTCAGCCGGCAAATGTACCTCCATGGGTATGTACGTCGGCCAATAACCCATTGTCAGAATGTTGACTGTGAGGTCTATCTTGCTAGGGTCATTATGATTTTGCACATACTGAAAAAAAGATACAATTCATTAAACAGAGTGATCTGTAATGCTTTTATTTGCCAATAAGATGATTATACTACTTGAACAAATGAAGGCAAAAATTTATATTTGCAGACTAAAAACAGATTAATGCTTTAAAACAAGGTCCTTTTCATCAGTTCTGGTACAAGCTCCTTTGCTTTAAACACATTGCAGTGTTCTTTTTAGTTTTTCCTCAGGTATTTATCCAGTTCCCTTTTAAATGCTGTTCCTGACTTAGTTTCAAGAGCTATTTGTGTTAAGGCAATCCAGCACATTCTAGAAACCCTAAAAGTATAAAAATCCTTGCATTGGATTTAGTGCCTGATTACGTCTTCGAGATGTCTCAAAGCGCTTCATAGAATATAAAGTGAATTGACTGTATATTTTGTGGGTGAAACGCGGCAGGCAATTGCGCACAGCAGTGTCCCACTAACAGTTGTGGTTTAAGCGATTAAATTAGTATTATTTTTTAAAAGAATTTTGAAGGTATTATTATCCCAGAATAGTGATCCTCCAATCGACTACCAACCAGGTTCCTACTTACTGCTAGGAAAACGAAGAGTGTGGAGTAAGGAAACTTGCCTAATGTTTCACCCAGCCTGGGGATTGAACTCAGGTCATGTCGCTTGCGAGGCAAGTGTTTTAACTAATATGCTACAGGACTCCACTTTAACAGACCTATTATCAACATGAGATGTGAGGTCAGATTTGGGATCAGGCTCAAATAACCTCTACTCCTCCACTTGAATAACTCATCATCTAGACTTTAGTGTGAAGAACAAATACTCAATAGATGTTACACAGGGCTGCTGTTACTCGTGAAACTGGACCTTAACATAAAACTTCAGCAGAAGAAGAAAAGTAGGGGGAAAAGTGAACAGTGGTTGAGTTTAAGTTTACCTGTTTAAAATGAACCATAATGTCTTTAGATAGTTCCATATCTTTGAACATTCCCTCTAGTTTACTGGTGAAGGCTGCACCACATTCTACAGAAATAAAAGAGAAAAGAAAGTTACATTTTCTTGTTTCATACTTCATATCAATGTTTTAAATGGAATTCAACAACCCTGGAGGTTTGTTGTATACATACCGTGTTTCAGTTTGGATAACATTGATTTCTCAGCATCTACTGAAGCACTTTTTCCAACCAGCAGCCGCTTAGCCAAATCTTTCTTATAAAAGGCCTCAAATACATCTTTACCTATTCAAAGGAAATACAACTGTTAACTAATTAATATACAATTTTAAAAGAAATAATGCTTCTGAACCATTAGGGTAAATGTTGCATTTCACTCAGACTACACTTAAATAATTTTGCAATCAAAAAGACAATTAATCTGAAACTAACTAAACAAGTGGCGAATTAAGTTCTTATTAAAATGATGACAGCTACAAATCCTAGGATTTTTTTTGCCACTTCATGCATTCACTCTAAGCACAAAAACTCTCAGGTCAAATACTTTGATGAATAGGATTGAAAAGATCAGATAGTTCTCAGTTCTGCTCCATCACTGTTTCTGTATAAATAGTGCATGGTTCACTTAACATTCATAATCAGAATAAACACTATACATCCAGAATTTTTTTTTAAGAATACCATCCGGCATGCTATCTTGCTGCTTGAAAATCAGAAGCATTTTATTTATTTTATTTATGTATTCCCAAATATTGTCACAGGTAAATTTTTTCTGAATGCCAATCTAATTCTCATTCATATGTTCAAACATTAAGTTTGATAAAGCACTTGTCAGAAAAGCGACAACATAAATTATGCCTTAAGATGTAAAGCACATCTCCTCCTGGGAAACCCATGCACATAACACTAACTTGTGAGAACTTGGTTCTGATGAGGTCTCAGGTCACAGATGAGATCACACCGATCAGCAGTTTCCTAACAAGCACTTTTTCCAATCTCATTTTTAGATCTCTGGCTTTCCTGAACATGTACACCACATCATTATAACAAAAATTGCTGTGACTATCAGCCCAGGATCAAAGATTATAAATGTGCTTGGAATGCGATGATATATTTGCACAAAGATTTAAATTCTCTAATTTTACTCAAACAAGACCTATTCTGGCGACTCATTCTTACACAATCTATCAATTTTTTAAAATGATCCGACTTTTAAATGCTATGAACATGATATGAACATTATCAACTCTGAATAAAATAGAAAAGTTTACCGTGAATAAATCGAAATATTATCATGATTTTATCCAGCATTCTCTCCAGTTCTTCATCGGTTGCTTCTTTGTTACCAGCTCGCAACTTTGAATCTACATACTTGGCTACACACAAAAATCAATAAAAACATCACTGATTGTAATAATAATAATCCTTGCATTTGATATTGGGCCTTATCACGTCTTCGGGGCGTCTCAAAGCGCTTCACAGAATATATTATAAAGTGAATTGACTGTATATTTTGTGGCGAAATGCGGCAGCAGTGTCCCACAAACAGTCATGGTTTGAGTGACCAATTTATTAATATATTTTTTTGAAGGGATTAAACGATCCACCAAGCGACTAACACCCGGGTTCCTACTTACTGCTAGATAAACAGAGGATTGTGGAGTAAGGAAACGTGCCCAGCGTTTCTCCCTGTCCGGGAATTGACCCCAGGTCCTCTTGCTTGTGAGGCGAGTGCTCTAACAATGAAGCTACTAACCATTCAGGACTCCATTACGATCCCAAACATTGAAACTAAATGTATTGCACTGCATGGGAGGAGGGGGCAACCACTTATGGAACTGCAGCTTGAGTTGCTGAAAGTGGGAAACTGCAATCAACTCTGCTTCATATTCTGCAGGGAGTAGTTAGCAAGCTTCTGGTGAATCTGGGTTGTTTCACTCAAAATTCTTTGGCTCCAAAAGGTACAAAAACACATAATAGGAGCAGGATTTTAAAACAAATTGTAGCATCTAACCTGCATGTCTTAGCCTCTTCTCCAACCCAACACATTTCACTTTGGCTCCAAAACTCTATGGCCTTGCATACCTGCAGGATTTCCTCAGGATCTACTCTGCTGCTAAATGACCGTCAAGGTTCTGATCTCTGACCCTTATCCTTTACCTCTGGTACTAATAGGGTCAACCAATTTCCTGAAATTGGCCCATGTGCCAATTTCTCATGCACAGAACATGACAAGTAACAATTCTATTACTGACAAAAATAAGAGATTACAAACCCATTTAACCAAATTGAACTGTGGTCAATTTTAAATAAATAAAAATAGGTAACACTGCACCAATGCTTATTACCAGATGGTAGTTCTTCCAACACTGTTGAACCTGTGCCATTCAGCTTCAAAAGGCTTAATAGTTAACGGGTTGAGGCTGACCTATACTTTGTCTGGTAACTATTCTTGGATGGAAACAGGCTAAAGAATGCTGAACATCTTTTTAAGCCCCCACCCCCGCACGCACACACACCCACACATACAAACGCGTAGCATTCTGTAGTGCATGGAATACTCATTCTCCATAAACCAAAGCATTTCTTTCAGCTATGGGAAGATAGGAGGACAAGCAGGCAGGTTTGAGTTTGTGAAACTGCAGGAAGTAAAATTAAATTCTCAAAACAAATATCTTCATTCATTTAGGAAGATTGTAATCACTCTCAAAAGGGCAATTTTGACCTTTTCATTTTTAGCTACGTTTCATAAAATAATAATAATATCTCATTACTACACATAGTGAATAAAATCATTCATACCTATCAATTCAGCAGGCTTGTTTGGTCTCTTGTTAATAAAAGTCTCAAAAGCTTCCTTCATTGTATTGATGAACTTCTCATTTTTTATGAAACATACATCAATTACATGATCCACTTTGTCTTTAAAGTCCAATAGCTCTTGAACCATTGTTTTATCCTTTTCAGGATTAACCACTATTGTTGTGCCAAAGGTCTGTAAAATAAATTCCATATTATACACAAATGAAAAATGTAAATCTGTGACCCCCCCACTTACTTAAGACATTTCTGCCCAAACTGCTTCCAATTTTCTAAAGCTACTTAAGAATTCTGCATGCAGCACAGAAACACTTCTAACAGTTCTGTGTGAAGGGCCCTATATAAATGCAAGTTGTGCTAAGAATTACAGCTGTAAATCCAGAGCTGTAGATACAACAACAACAAAATTACATTTGTATAGCGCCTTTCACATCGGGAGGATATCCCAAGGCGCTGGACAGACAGAGTTTCAGACCCGAACTGGGGTCAGGATTGGGGAGAGCAGGGGTGGGGATGAAGCAGGGTGATCAAAGGCATGGTCGAAGAGGAGGGTCTTGAGATGGGTCTTGAAGGAGGCAAGGGAGGCGCCGAGGCACAGACTGCGGGTTGGAGTTCCAGAGGATGGGAGCAGAGTGGCAGAAGGCCCCCCTACCAACAGTGGGGAGAGCGAGGTGGGGGACGTGAAGCAGGCCAGAGCCCGCTGAGCGGAGGGTGCCAGCAGGAAGGTAGGGAGGAGCAAGACCATGGAGGGTTTTGAAGGTGAGGAACAGGATCTTGAAATGTATCCTCTGTGTGATGGGAAGCCAGTGGAGTCAGGCGAGGATGGGGGTGAAAGGGTCACGGAACCTGGTGTGGGAAAGGACACGGGTGGCAGAGTTCTGGATGATCTACAGCCTATGGACGGAGGAGTTGGGAAGGCCGACAAGCAAGGAGTTTGCATACTCAAACCTCTATGTTATGAATGCGTGTGTGAGGGTTTTGGCGGCCTGCGTTGTGAGACAGTGGTGGAGCCGTGTGATGTTGCGGAGGTGGGGGAAGGCAGAAGGGGTCATGGCACAGATGTGGGGTAGAAAGGATAGTTGAGTCGAACAAGACGCCAAAGTTCCGGACTGACTTAGTAAGGTGGAGTGTGCAACCATGGATGGTGATGCTGTCAGTGCCTGAGGTGAGGAGATGCTAACGGGAGCCAAGCAGGAGAGCCTCGGTCTTGTTGACGTTTAACTGAAGAAAGTTAGCTCTCATCCAGGATGATGTCTGACAGACATTCTGTCAGGACAGCAGTGGTCCTGGAGTCGAGGGTGGAGGTAGAGAGGTACAGTTAGGTGTCATCTGCATACATGTGGAAGTTGACCCCATGTCTGTGGATAATGTCACCAAGAGGGAGCATATATTGAAGAGGAGGGGACCAAGGACAGAGCCCTGAGGAATGCTGCACGAGACGGTGCGGGTGCTAAAGGAGAAGCCATTCGTGGAGATGAAGTGGAAATGGTGTGAGAGGTAGGATCTGAATCAGTCAAGGACAGAGCTGTGAAGGTTGAGGTGAGAGGGGAGGCGGTGGATGAGGATAGAGCTGTCGACAGTGTCGAAGGTAGCACAGAGGTCAAGGAGGAATGAAGAGGCAGAGGGAGCCCTGGTCGCAGATGGACAGAATGTCATTGTCACTTTGACCAAGGGCTGTTGTAGATAAGAAGGTTTCCACAATACTAAGTATATTCATACTTTATTTTGTACATACTGGAAAGCCAGATATCATCATGGCTTACACAGCAAATATTCATAGATATCTTCCCAAGATAGCCTACAGTTGTATTGTTGCATTGGAGTGTTCTCAGCCGAGGAAACAACTAACGTTGCTGTTAAGTCTAAAAATATTTTTTCAAAGGAGTAACTTGTTCAACATTCAGAGAATTTTATTTTAGCAAAATCAATAGAAATACCTTAATATATTCACTCCAGTGCTGCAGAAGTACCTGCAATCCACCTTTAACCCTGCTAAACAGCTGGTAAAGAAGAGTGAGGTCTGCCACTCGATTCTCATCAAGTAGATTATCAAGACCTGCAAACATAACCATAAATGAAGCAAAGTAGCAAAACAGTTAATATTTTGGCCTGAATCATAAAGCAGCTTCCATGAGAGATTCAATGAATGCAGCCTACTGTGTAAACAATGTAGATATCAATATCAATAGATAGTCAGACAATATAAGTCAAGGTCAGTTATCTTTATTGAACTTGTGGTAAAATAAACTTATTTCAAGTATGTGGTATTCCAAATGAAGCCTCATCTCAGAGCAACAAGAGGCATGAACTTAACTGGTGTGTTTGATTTTCAAGGTAAAGTTACTCTTACCTTTCTGAAGAATAGCTGTCAGATGTTCTCCAAGAAGCTGTTTCTCTACACAGGCAACCAACCTTTTCCTGCAGATTAGAGATTCAATTTTACAAACACTACAAACAACCAACATCATTCACAGAACTTCACAACATTTTTATTAGAATTGTGGAGTCTACTCGGGAGTTTTAGAATTCTATGAAAAAGGTCAAATATAATGGAAATGGATCATATGAAAATGTAGCTGCAACCACCTCCACTCTCAATTTTCAAATATTCCACACACTCTTTAACTTGTTCTGATGCTACTTTTGCGCAGTACAAGTTTGATTTATTTAAATGTATTCAAATACTTGTGTATGGAGACGTTACACCTGTACTGACCACTCCTGAACATCACCACGTTTCAGCTTCTCATCATACATATACAAAAGGAAATTTCTTACAATGCTAATTACTTAAAAAACAACCAATTCAATGTCTATGTTTATGCAAAGCTACATCTGAATTGTTGTGATCAAAAATCAGTATTAATGGACACAAATGTAATCAAGGGACTCGTTGACTTTTCCACTAAAGGTGCAGTGATGTGGTTAGATTAATTGAAAGGTGATGCTTTTCGTAACTATCATGGGGCAAACTCAACAGACAAAAATTGCTACTAGAATACATGCACAAGTTTAATTTAAACATGTCCTTGACTTAACAAATATTTGTAGTACTTTTTTTCAAAATGTTGGACAAAGATTGGCATACCTTTATTACTCTCAAATTTGAGAAGAGTCAGTAAGCAAAATAAAACCTTAAATTTAAAAAATGTGGTCACTCAATCCACGACTGTTTGTGGGACATAGTGGTGCGCAATTTGCTTCTGGGTTTCGCCTTCATACTACTGGTCTCCAGAGCTCCTCAGAACTCAATTGTTTATCCATTTCTTCTCTACTCATTCATTATTTGTATTTGTCCTCAGTCTCATAAAACTTCAGGCTACTTATGTACGAGTTTTCTTTTTTAAAAGGGATAATTTTTTTTAGTTAAAAAGTCCTACATTATCATACCCTCGTGGTTGCCTTTCAATGCTTTTGTTAAAACCATAAAATGACCAACAATGATCTAAATTAAAAATGTATGAATAAAGCATGTGGTTTTCTTTCCAAGTATTCTCTTATTTTGATAATGCAGGGGAAAGGAGACGAAACATGCATTTGAAACTTGCTGTCTATTGTTCCTGCCACACCTCAGGGAGAGTGGAGTCACAAATTGTACTTTGGAACAGGACACCTATAAGAATGATACATGAGATAACTACTGAGTGAAAAAGAAATCTAATTACAAAATGTAAGAGTACACTTAAATAACACATAAGAGATTACTAGCTAAAATGAAGATGCCTGGAATTCGAAGCAATCTTGTGAAATGGATGAGGTTTTTTTTCTAAAACAAAAAGCACTTACTGTGTACTTTGATCCAAGTAAGTAATTACTCGGTCTGATTCCTCTTCCAAACGTTTGTTTACGTGGTGAAGATATTCTGGTACCTGCTATGACAACATTTTAAATTGTAAAAACAAATTGGTGTAAAACAAAAGTTATGATGGTAAAGGACAAATCTGTTAATTACCTCTCTTTCTTGCATTAGTGTTTGGCCTTCTGCTGCATATAAGTGATTAGTCTCCTCCAAAAACCTATGTTCAAATGATTCCTGATAAACCTGTTTTGTACAAAGTATTATTATTAATAAAGGTTTTTCTTAAAGCAAATTACAGCTTTATAGCACTCGAACTTCCCTCACCTGCAAATCACACAACATGCTTAACAGACTTCTTATCAAGCTTCGGTCCACAGCCTCCCCAGTTCGCTCTCTTTCAATCAGCAAAAGTATTCCATCAATGGTTTTGCTCTGTACAATTCGGTCATTGATGATGTGGGTTCGGAAAAGCTCTAAACCCATATCCCTGAAATTATAAAATGCGGTGGGATTCATTACAATAAAAAAAGTTTAATTCCTCTTTACTGAATTAATTTTTACCCTGGATTATAAAATTCTGTACATACAAATCAATAAGTCAATCACTATTGCAGTAATAATGCATGTGATTTAAGGATAGAAATAATTAAAACAAAGATAATTAAAAACTGACAATCCTGGATAAATTTATGCTACAGCACCTGTATGCGAGGCTTTATGCCTTTTTACTTTATAATTTATGGCTTTATGCCTGATGGTCTCAACTTGCTTGTACCAACAATTCCTCTAGTGCTCTCCTCCCTTTCCTGTTTGAAACCTCACAGTAACTGATAGTTTAACACTAAATGCCAATCATTAATGTTGTAACACTATTCTGTATATAAACATTAGGACAATGTGAAACTTTTTTTAGTTACTGTAACTTGATCAAACTTGTCAAACATCACTTGCCCTAACTCTATTCTGTAAGCACCACCTCCACCAATTATAATCTGTCGCAATCTACTTAGCAATGTTACTTTGTAACTGGCATCTACCGCATGTTACTCTGAAACGGACATCTACAGCAATGCTATTCTGTAACCTCACCGATACCAATGCTATTCTGTAATCAGAACCTACACCAATGTCACAATGCAAAGTGTAACCTGAGACTGCCTTTACTCCTTTGTGGGAGTCCTCTCGCCCATCAGCATGTCACCATAGAGTGAGGGCTGAGATTAATAATTTACCCATGCACTGATTTCCATACCCAGCGCTAGCTGGTATCAGATGGGAGCAAGATGTGTTCTTGATGTTACAGATACTACAATCAAAATATCAAATGTAAGGATTGATTGATTTGTTTCACAAAACCATGCCGCATTTGCCCAAAAAATTATAGTCACACCACTTTACACTGTATGTTGTGAAGAGCTTTGTGATGTCCTAACCACACAATAAGGCATTATATTAAATGTCAAATGCAAGGATTATATATAACATTGGATCTTCCAGAACTATCAGAAGTCATACGAATACACACTTGGGGATGCAAACTACATTTCAATCTAATTTTGATCTGGCATTTTCAGAGATTAAGGTTCAGTAAAACTAAGAGCATAATTTCACTTTGCATGCATCAACAAGGAGCTACATAGCAAGGAAAGTGTAATGCATAATCTTGATCTTAAATAGTAGCATCCTTTTCTAAATAACTATGTGCAAAATTTACCACCATTTCAACATACACACACCAAATATGTTGATTAATTATCCATTAGCTAAATGGTATTTAGAGGGATTGTTTTACATAAATTGGCTAAAACTGAAAGTATCAAGCAGTCTGGGTCCTGTATCTGAAGGGCCAGATTACAGCACACTGCTTGGGAATCGAATAAGCAGATGAGATTGGGAAGATGACATTAACAAAATAAAATAATTTACTCCTCATGATGAAGCAGTGACAAAATAGGATAAAAGTAATGATCCACCACCCTCCCAGGGCATTATAGTGAGCGATGACCTAATGACATCCAAAACAAATACTCACTCCAATCACTGGGCTATTGCCAATAAAACAACCCGATCCTCTAAACATGCAAACTTACTTATATGTGTACAACCATGCCAAAATGTGCCAGCGTATGTCCCTGCAGTACCAGTTAAATAAAATGTTTACTATTCAATCAATAACGTACATCAATAAAACATATTCAGATAAAATCCAATGTTAAATGCTCATTTACTGGCCGCACAATATTGTGTTACAATACATTTCATTTTGTCGTCTAAAGGAGTTCAACTTCAAAGAGTTAAAGATTTCAGTTTAAGTTCAAAAGATCAATCTTATACAGTATAACTCACATAATTTGTAACAGTCAGGACCATAATATTTAATATGACTTACGAGAAGACTGAGTTGTAGGCAAACTGTACAAGTCGGAGAAAATCCAATTTAATCAATAATCTACGTAATTCATGCTTAATTCAATCCGGCCAGTAAGTGAACATGTGGTGATGGGTCAAGACTACATTTCCCACGATTCAATGGGTTTTGACCTGTTGCCGCATGCATGCACACTTAGCGTCAAGCATTGGAATCGCATTGAACCATGGGAAATTACCATGTCAACGGATCAAGACTATGTTTCCTCTAATTCAATGTAGACGGCAAATGTGAGAGTAATGAAGGATAGGGGAGCGGCGTTACGAGTTAAAGATGATTAATATGAGTAGTGCAAAGAAATCTAAGCGGTTTTGATAGGAAACTGAATGGGGACTGAGGCGATTGTTCGATTTATGCAGATATGACTTGTGAGTTTCACTGTAATCTCTCAAATCTTGCCCCTCCCCCCACCCCATGGATCAGTAAACATACATATTCTGAAGAAATGTTATTATGGCAATGAAGCTGACAATCTCCTGAAGAGTATCAACTGTTGCTTGCCACGAGATCAGTATATCATACGACTGAATTAAAATATGCGCTGACACTAACAAATCACTACAGTTTCAGCAGGAAACCATGACATGGCCATTCAGATTTTAATATTTTAAGAATAGTAAATTGCAAAAATAATTTTACAATATACAAAGGAAGATTAATAAATATGATTTAAATATGTTTTTCCTGCAGAACTGCTTTCTAAAATACAAGGCACTTGGTGATTTCTCAGATGAGCTGCTACGTCAGTTTTGGGGGAAAGGGTGGGTGGGGAGAAAATGTAATGCAGCTGAGTCAGATACAGTCATGAATGGATTCATAAGCTAATTCGCTGCAGTAGTCCGGTGTTACCCAAAGTGTATATGTTCCTTAAAATGCAAAAGTAACAAAATGACTAACTGCCCACAGTTCATCACTCACCAGATAGATGGAAGCATTGAACTCTGCAGAACGTACGTTCGGTCCAGAAATAAGAAAATGCTCCTAATCATAATCTGTAAATTTGTGAGAAAATTAAAACTAAAAGTCATTATTATGCAGCAATTAAGGAAAGGTTATTTTATTACCTTAGCAATAAAGATGGGTAAGCCTTTCCTAATCAAACAAAACTATAAAAAGAAGCTATACTAAAACAGTACCAACCTACCATTTGCCTACAGTGATCCAGCCAACATTTGTTAATCTTCTTCAGAAAGAGAACACTATCCAGGGAATCCTTGGAAATAATGTTAAGGAGCAATAAAATCCATGCGTTGCCTTTTTAGCATGCAAACAAATATTTTGGATTTATCTCAATGCATTAATTCTAAAATTTGACAGATAAAGAGGAAAAAAATAGTGGGTGTCAATTCTTCAGCTGTGAAAAAAAAGCAAGGGACAGTTATCTTTAAGCATTTCATTTTGCAGTCAACATCACCATCATCTCCAAGGTGACCAACAAGTTGTGATACCATTACAGTGTCTAATAAGTCTTAAAGAAATTATGATTTTTTTTAGATAATAGTGGAGCTAAAAACAAGACTTCTTAACCACCCTGTATAATTGGTGGCAAAAGGAAAATGTTTGCCACACCCTAACACAGTCTATTGTTATCTCACCTTGTTCTATACTCCTGACAGTTTTGTAAAACAAACTTTTATCAACTGCATTGATACAATAGTAAAATTCGGTTTATACAATACAACATACAAAACTTCCCTACATTTTGCTGAATTGCTTTTTATAGTCTTGCACTGATATACAGATGAACTAATTTGGGTAATTTAACGAATGCTTTCATAACCAGTTGGATAAAAAGTCAAATGGTGTAATATCGTTGGATGTAGAGCTCGGGAGCACTCCAGTACATTGTTAACTACCGTCAAAAGGCAGAATGGAGTCAAATCCTCCCATCATTTTCAATGGGAATGGAATCTCTGCAACTATCCACGCATAGCATAATTTAGCTCAATAATATTATGCCACTTTGGGTGTGGGGAGGGGGTTCTGGACAAAATATCTGCTATCAAACTGCTTCTTAGTTATAATCAAACATTTATAAGGGAGGAAGGGACTGACAAAGATGATTAAATATCCAGATTTCTCTTTTCAGAAAGATATAAATATGTAATAGAACAGAACAATATCAATAATCCTTGAAATTGATATAGCACATTATCACTTTGTTGAGATGTCTGAAAGTGCTTTACAGAATATATTGTAAAGTGAATTGACTGTAAGTTTTGTGGGTGAAATGCAGCAGCCAATTGTGCACAGCAGTGTCCCACAAATAATCGTGTATATAAGTAGAACTTCCTGTTGAGCAGGTTTCTTGTGACATATTTTGCTACTGATTCACCACAATTTGTACTTTTCCTTTAAAAATAACGTTTTAAAACTGCAACATTAGGTTTTAATGAAGACCTACTGAATATTGTAAGGGTTATTAAGAATTCAATAATACTTTCAATGAAACAAAGCTTACTGCAGAGCATATCTTACATAGCCTAGAGCAGGGATGGTCAGCCTGCAGCCCACATTATGTCGCAAGTTGGTCATCCCTGCCTTAGGATGGACAGAATGGTGAAAAAAGGATATTCTCTGAATTGATGAATCTGTGCCTTCACGTGATCTTCACAGGCTTGTCTCAGTTGTTTGTACAGTGTTGGTGACACTTTATAGGAACACAGATTTTCAACAGCCTGGGTATTTAAAGAAAACACAAAAAGGGCATTATAGGAATTTATATAAGCCAATGTTTGACAAATCCCAATTTTCATGCCCCCCCTTCAATTACAAAAAAAATGCAACCACCAGCAGGCAAATTAATAGTGAATTAAATCAATGAATGACAATTTAATTAGACTAGACTTAGTGTTCAGTGAAATGAACAGCTGACCTCTGGGGGAGGAAGAACAAGCAGTAACAACATTTATTCAATATATTCAAATGAATGAAAATTGAAGGAACATGAGCTTTAAACACACACACACCCGACTACACCCAAAGTAAGAGAGAGGGAAAGATAGATGCATACACAAATTTGATATCAGTAGTTTCCATACCTATAACAGGTGCAATCCTAATTAGTGCAGACATAAGGCTCTCTACCCTAATTTTACTAAAAATATTTAGGGCTGTTTTCAGCCCTAGCAGCTGCAAGCAATGGAGTGCTCAATCCCTTTCTGAAGAGCGACATTCCGCCTGAATGGTTGAAATGTTTTCCAACGGAAACATGCGTATAAAGGAGAAGTCCTGTACTAACTGTAATTCACAAAGCAGCCTCAACTCTCCAAATAGTGTTAAACTGCTGCTTTTGGAAAACCTCAAGCCAAAAAGCCTCAGCCAAATCAACAACAACTTGCACTGATATGGAGTCCTTTATGCAGGTAGCATCTCAGAGCACTTATCTTTCTAAATCATCTAGAAAGAGTTGGGAGTGAAGAATTTTGGTACAACCGACAAGAATTTAAAATGAGATGAAGGGATCTATTCTGCATTTTGTTTTATGCCATGTATGGAAACCCATGTACGAACGGTATTACAGATGTCCTTTACTATGCATCAGCCAATGTAAAGGATGACTGTATCCTATCATTGATTAATTATATAATTAAGTGCACTGTCAGTTCCTCCATACAAATACAATTACAAAACCCTGATAACACATATGCATTTAAAACTCGTAAAATACAAATGGTTTTCACAATATTGCATAGTAGATCCTAATATGGGAGAATCTTGCACTGGTGCTTTATTACTTTTATGCATAAATAACTCTGATTTGCAGACTCAGTGTAAGCAATTAAATAGGGAGGGATTTTACATAGAATGATGCTGCACAGAATCTAAGAGCACATGCCAATTCCCCTCGTTATTTTAGCTTCATTTTTCAAAATTCTGCTTTTGTGCCCCGTTACCTGATAAAGCTCTTCCAGATTGTATTTAATAGATGTGCTTCTTTGAATGGCTCCAACTGCTTCATGGAGTTTCTGCCAAGTATCTTGAGTGTAGTTGTCAGGCAATTTAGGTTTATCTGTTGAGAGAAGAATAGTAGTAAACACCTTTTGCTTCAACTAATAACTGTGGTTCTTATTTGCTTGGATTTTATAATCTGAAATTACAGGTTCAATGCTTGCAATTTCTAATCATGTACCAATCACGTATCACCTACATGATTATTGCTTAGACCTCATGGTTCAGTTGCATTTAACATCACACTATAAAAGTTGTTTGCAGAACTTTGCTGTGCTCAAGTTGGCTGTTGGGTTCAAAGTCAGTACCCTTTACAATATATTCTCTGAAGCATTTTTAGACATTATTCTGATGTAAAAAGCACTATATCAAATGTAGGGATTCTTTTTAATACTATGATTCTATAGTTGTTTCTGAAACAAAAATAATTGAGAAGAATGGAAGATATTTGACAGAAACATCAAGTTATATCAGGTTAGATGACAAAAATATCTATTTAGGTGGGTGTTAAGATCCCATGACAGTACAGCAAAACTTGCACAAGTTGTCTCTTTATAAATCATATAATCACCTAAGTCGTACGTGCACCCGAGTCGCATTCAGTATCCTCCCGAAAAAATGTGTAGACTTCTTTGTACTTGTTGTATTTTATAAGTCGGATAAACAGCTAAATTGCAGAGTTATTTTGGTTCCAAAGAATCCTAAATCCTATGCAAATTATCTCCCAACTCGTAACAGCATTATTGGACTTACCAGGTGTATTGAACTATGCACGAGCAGTGTTCTGATTGAAACATCTGCGGGAAACAAAGTCTTGACCCGTCACCACATGCGCTCTCACCAGTGATGAGGTACTGCACACGTAGTACAGTACAGTGTACTCCATTGAAACAAATGCGGAAAACAAGGTTTTGGCCTGTCATCATGGCATCAGGCAATACAAGTACAATGCAACCCAGGTTAGTGACAAGGACCTTGTAATTGTTTACTGTATTTGTTATGTGTTAGTCGGATAAAATCTTGATTTACACATAACTTTGCCTAAGTCATATGTGATGACTTATGCGAGTTTGGCTGTAACCTCATACTTTGTGCAAGTCATATTTAATATTATGGTCCCGATTGATATGACTAATGCGAGTTTTATCGTATTTCAAAAGAAGGGTTTCTCCAAGTGTCCTGACCAACAATCCTCCAGATGACATTAATTACTCACTTCATTGCTGTCTGTGGGACATTGTCCTACACAAATTAGCTGCCGCATTCAGCGACAAATAGTCACTACACTGTACAGTAAAATCCTGTTAAGAGCTTTGAGATATTTTGATGACATAATAAATGCAATGCAATATATTATTTTAGGAGATAAAAATGTAGAAATAAACATGCTGTCACATTCAGTTTGTTCCAGCTTGTTCCATCAATCAAGTTGTGTTTTAGGTCTTAAATTTAACCACATCTTTTTCCTCCTCCAAACTGAATTGGTCAGCTTTGATTGAATCGGGAATGACAAAGGAATATTTTTATTGTTTTAATGGAGTAGACCATCATCTGTATTTGAATCTATTCTGTAAGTCAAGACTGCAAATGTGAATTTATACTCATAAGTGATTATGTCTCTAAAATATCCATTACAGAATAAACGGCAATTTCACCACAATCCCAGACCGGATTCTTTTTATCTACCTTTGAAGTTGGTACATTGTCAAACAGCTCCAGGTGAACTGCTTGTACATAAATATGAGTGCTTGGTAAGATATGCCATATATATCAGAGTGGTCCTTGTGAATTAATCTCCTATCCTAGGCATCCAGCTGCTTCTCAGAAGTCCTGAGCTGTTTCTTGTACAGGGAATGAGTATATTTTGCCTACACCTTCAAAAACAGGAGTGGTTTGGGTGCTTGAAGGACATCCGCCTATCTGATCAGGCCACTTACGTCATCATCTGAAACATTTTTTCCAGCCAAATTTTGTTGCTGATGAAATTGTGCTGCTTTACTGAAGGACTACCCATTAGACATTAAGTTGTGGATAAGCCATTTCTTCAGATAAAAGTTAAGAAATTGAAGCCAGCCTATGTGTTTTTCATTGGCACTATCTTGCCTCCAGTTTTGACCCATTTGAATCCTTACTGATTCTAACTCTTCACTCAGCCTCAGCCAGTCTTCAATATTGGTTTCTGCTCGACACTCACCTCCATCAAAAATGAAGCCCATCACCTGCTCCCTCGACCCCATCCCCACCCCTTTCCTCACCTCCCAGCTTCACCTCCTGGCCCCTTACCTCATTAACCAATATTATCAACCTCTTCTTATCCACTGGCACTGTTCCCTCCTCCTAAAAACAGCTGTCACAACCCCCACTCTCAAAGAACCTTCCCTTGACCTATCCCTACTCTGCAGCTGTCGCCCCATCTCCAACCTCCCATTCCTCTCCAAGGTCCTGGAAGGAATCATCGCGTCGCAGCTTCGCTCTTTCCTCTCCTGCCATTCCCTCTCTGAACCTCTCCAATCGGGTTTCCATGCTGCCCACAGAACGGAGATAGTCCTGGTCAAAGTCACTAATGACATTCTGAACATCTGCGACCAGGGCTCTCTCTGCCTCCTTGTCCTCCTCGACCTCTCCACTGCCTTCGACACTGTCGACCACTCTATCCTCCTACACTGCCTCTCAGCTCAGCTCAATCTTCGCGGACCTGCCCATGCCTGATTCGAATCCTATCTCTCCCACTTTGTTGCCACTAACGGCTTCTCCTCCAGCTCCCGCACTGTCATGCGTGGCGTCCCTCAGAGCTCCTTCCTTGGCCCTCTTCTTTTCAATATCTATATGCTCCCCTTTGGTGACATCATCTGCAGACTTGGGGTCAACTTCCACATGCGTGCGAATGACACCTAACTCTACCTCTCTGCCTCCACCCTCGATTCCAGGACCACTGCTCTCCTCACAAAAAGTCCTGGATGAGAGCTAACTTCCTGCAGTTGAATGTCAACAAGACCGAGGCCCTCCTGCTTGGCTCCCTCCATACCTCGGGTGCTGACAGCATTTCCCTCCATGCTTGCACTCTACATCTCATGGAGCCAATATGGAACCTCGGCATCCTGTTCGACCTTCAACTGTGCTTCATACCCCACATCCGTGCCATGACCCGCTTCACTTTTCCCCACCTCCGCAACATCGCCCGACTACCCCACTGTCTCACACCACAAGCCGCTGAGACCCTCATGCACACATTCATAACATCCAGGCTCGACTACTCAAACTCCCTGCTTGTCAACCTCCCCAACTCCTCCCTCCATAGAGTGCAAATCATCCAGAACTCTGCAACTCATGTCCTCTCCTGCATCAGGTTCCACGACCCTATCACCCCCATCCTCGCCCGACTCCACTGGCTTCCAAACACACAGAGGATACAGTTCAAGATCCTGGCCCTCACTTTCAAAGCCCTCCATAGCACTTGCTTCCCCTACCTCTGCAACCTCCTAACCCCCTACCAACCCCCTACCTCTGCTCAGCAGGCTCCATCTCCCATCTTGCCCGCTCCACCATTGGCGGGCGGGCCTTCTGCCTCTCTGCCCCCACCCTCTGGAACTCCATCCCGCAGTCCCTCCACCTATTCCCCTCCCTTATCTCCCTCAAGACGTTCCTCTTCAACCGTGCCTTTGGTCACCCTCCCTGATATCGACCCTCACCTCGGGTCCGAAATGCTGATTGTCCAGTGCCTTGGGACGTCCTCCCGATATGAAAGGCGCTATACAAATGTAATTTTGCTGTTGTGCTTCAAACCCCACAACTGGTCTATTGCTAACACTACATATTCCTCATTCATGCGATTGTCGCCCCAGTGGTTGAGTTCTCTCATTTTTCATTTCATCTGCCTCCCTCGCTCCATCTACCACAAGCCCTAACTCATCCAAAATTCTCCATCTTATATCCTCTTCCCCCGCATCATTTTTATTCGTTCCATGCTCCATTACTTTCCAGTTCATCAGTGGATCAACTTAAAGATCCTGGGCCTTCCTAACCTTCAAATCCCTGTCCAGTCTCATTCTTTTCTACTATCTATCTAGGCAATAAATGAAATTAAAAGATTATAAATTATCTCCAACCTTACTCTCCTGCACTCCATCTGATTTGTGTTGATTGCTTGTCCTTTACTTCCTACAATTGGTGGTAGTTGTGATTTCAATACCTACTCTCTTGCCCTCTGAAACTCACTTGCAACTCCAATTAATCTTTTATTTCAACATCGTCAATTGTCCTTTCACCCCATAATCATTAAACACTTTGAGAACTTTTTTTTATGTGATGTGAAAACCACTTTATAATTGCACGTCATTGGTGATGGTAATGGTGGGTAATGATAAGAAAAAGAATGGAAATCATGGCATCTTCCAGCTAGCAGAAATATTTACCATGAATCTTCACCCAAGCCTTAGGCTAAATAACACCTCAATAACAATCTAACCTATAATTGGCAAACAGATACTGTATATGGTTAGTCAGCACTCTGAATGGGGTATAGGAAGGGGAAGAGGGGTCTTTTGCTGAAACACAAGGATCTCACTCCAGTGGAAGCCCTTCCCCATTTCCTACTCTTCCTTATCTTAAGCTTCTACACTTCTTGTACAACATGAACATCCAGGTCATAATAATTTTCACATGCTGTACTAGGACAAGCGTTTCAATAGCGGCCAGTATCTTATCAGTAACAAAACCCTTCCAAAGCTGTTGACTGATTCGAACCTTTGTATGGAGTCACTTTTTTTCACAAATGTGAACATTGATAAAAACAATATGCAATTTTCTTTCCCCCAATTGAAATTGAACACATAATCAACAAGGTTACCCCTCCACATGCCTAGGGAATTCAAGAAATTTAATATTGTTCGCTATCAAAAGTACTCACACCTACTGGTGAATGAAGGTCGTTACTCAGAAGAATGTGGTAAAATAATCCAACTGCAGAAATCCAAGAGTATAAATTTCCAACAGGTACACTGTCCCAGATGATTATTGTACTGTGACAAATCTATCTTTCCCCACAATTGTCGATATTGGAAT